GTCAAAGACATTTGGCGCTTTCACGGACTTCCTAGGAGCATTGTCTCTGACAGGGGGACACAGTTCGTATCGGCATTCTGGGCTGCGGTCACAGAACGACTAGGGATTCGTAGAAGACTCTCGACCTCGTTCCACCCACAGACGGATGGACAAACAGAAAAGACCAACCAGCACCTTGAGTCCTACATCCGGGCCTATACCGCCGGAACAGGAAAGAAATGGAAGGACCTACTACCGATTTGCGAGTATGCATATAATAATGCGAAACACTCGTCGACAGGACAATCGCCGTTCTACTGTAACTATGGTTTCCACCCACGAACAGATTGGCCAACGGATGCGAAAATCGGACAGCTGGATGCCAAGGGAAGTACCTACTTGGAAGACCTTCTACTAGCCCACGAGTCAGCAAGAGATACGCTGCAGAAAACCTTTGACAGAATGGCATCGAGGCCAGGACCAGCAGTTCAGCGGTTCACAATCGGTCAAAAGGTCTTGCTGGATACTCGGAACCTAGGCGGTTATAATAAGTGGTCAGACAAGTTCACAGGCCCTTTTGAAGTCACCGCGGCTGTAGGAAATAGGGCTTATAGATTGAATCTTCCGGTAGAATGGAAGGTTCATGACGTATTCCACGAGATGTTGCTGAGACCTTATCGAGAGGATCCCAACCCTGGCAGACAACAGAATACACGAAAACGACTCGCAACACCCGACCCTCAAGAGGCACTCTTAGATGAGAACTTCAAACCAGTCACCAACACTCGGCCCCATACGCGAAGTCAAGGGCCAGTCACCGACTCGAGACGACCTCTGAAACGACAGCGGACTAGGAAAGACTAGCTCGATACCTTTCCTACTCTATGACTTTTCCCAAAGGGTTTTTTTTCATAGAGAGGTTTTAACGGTCGAGGGCGACGTCTAGGAAGGGGGAGTAGTGTTATAGGAAACACGAACACTGCTCCTGAGTCAAGGAATAAGGATAATACGAGTGATGGGTTGTGATGCGAGTACGGTCGGGTAACGAGGGAACAAGCATAGAAAGGTACCGAGGGGTGTGGGGGCACCGGGTGCAACCACACTAGTATTAGGCTGTTGTGAGGGCACGCTTACTATTGGGTGTCTCACCCGGAACGGAATAGAAGCGGGGCTCATGGCTGCAGGCCATTCTACTTAGGGAAGTAGCTCTAGGACAATAGCATGATACAGCTCGGTTACTGGCAATTGCGGGGTTCATGGTTACGTGTCGGAATTAGAATGGAGGAGCGGGACTATGCGGGGGCACTTTTCTATTGGGGTAATCTTCGGGTTGATTGTCTTATTCTATTATCGTTATCTCATTAGTATTAGAAAGCGGGCCTTGGCATAGGTTCCAACATGTATAAATAGGGTAGGGTTCCGCCTCGTCTTAGTGGCATCATCAGTCACTCAGCGAGCGGAATCCGGTTTACAATATTACAAGTTTAAAAGCTACAGAACTATCGCTTAGCATTGGCATTTCCCCAAACAATTATATATGTACAAAATTTTGATCCTTCAGCAATCGACTTCTCATATAGACGATGGCCTTAGCTGCTTTAACCTAGCATAAATACTGAGTGATCGTGCACTTTTTGTACATATTCGCACATGCACATGCACTATGTTGCGAGCCGTCTTTAATCATGGACAAGGCAGGGCTTGTGGGGTTTGCGGGGGCGCGCCAGGGATAAGTAGGCGCTATCATTAAGGTTTGACGGGTTGTGTCCATAACACAACAGCATACATATACTTGTAGATATGTTATCCTATTGAATAGTATTTATAATCGCCCTATACATTCAAATCTTGTAAATATGAAGCCCCCGCTAGCTATTTATTCCATTGTGGACCTTTATTCCCGACGCTTAACAGCCACCGTCCCCAAACCATGGAAATGTGATCCGTTTCCTCACATAGCACCTTCCAGTTACCAGGTCATAATCCTGCATGTTTAATTGGGTGCAGAATGGCTGAGGCTCAAGTTTTGAACCCTGGAATCACCGCCAAGGCTTCCTGCATCATGGCACAGCGTAACCTTCTCTTGGTTGGTGTCACGATAGCCCTCGCTATCTCCAGAAAAACCCAGCTACAACTTGCCACTGACTGAACCTGGTCACCCGGGTTTCTTGACTAACTCCTCTTCTTCTGCTCTCCACTGCTACTGCCCTCCCCTCATCCGCAATCACTCCGTTTTTTTCGCTTGCGCCTCTCTCACAAGCCGTTTTTTATGAAATTGACAGGAAGCATTGGATATTAACTGCCACAATCCCAACCCCTCACACATACTTATTTTTTCTGTAAAAACTATGGGCGCAGAGCTCTCCCACGGAACGACCGTTGACGATGATGTTGCACCCGTGGTTTTAGCTGACCGGACGGTGAAGGCAGTCGCCGAATTCATCTTGTCCGGAAATTGTAAGAAGGTGGTCTTTATGGTATGTTTTTGTTAAGCGCCATTGCATATCACGGAGTTACTGACTTCGTGAAAGGTTGGCGCCGGAATATCTACGAGTGCTGGGTAAGTTTATACAGAATTCCCGGCTCTACCTTATGGCGGTAAATAGATCATTGACAGAATCCTCAGTATTCCAGACTTTCGAACCCCTGGAACAGGTTTATACTCAAATCTTCAACGATTGAACCTACCACATCCTGTAAGCCACGATTCTACCCTTACCTTGCTATAGAGCTGGGTGCATGTATATTGAATAACTAGAGCCAATGCGAGTGAAAACTTTAGGAAGCCGTTTTCGATATATCGTTCTTCAGAGAGAACCCAGTCCCATTCTACACCCTCGCCCGGGAGCTATACCCTGGAAACTTTAAACCAACGGTCACCCATGCGTTTATTCGCCTTGTTTCTGACAAGGGATTACTGCTGAAATGTTTCACCCAGAACATCGACACGTAATTAGCCCCACCAGTAACACTAGGAAATTGATGTTCCAATTAGTGGGCTGGCTGACACGGTGTATAGTCTGGAGAGGGCTGCCGGCGTCCCTGCAGATAAGATGGTGGAGGCCCACGGCTCCTTTGCAAGCCAGCGCTGTATCGACTGCAAAGCTCCCTACTCCGACTCCGATATGCGCCACCACATCAACAGCGGGACCATTCCACGATGCCCTTGTGGCGGCCTCGTAAAGCCTGACATCACCTTTTTCGGCGAAGCCCTTCCTTCAGCATTCCACGACAGTATCCACTTGGCCGAAGAGGCAGACCTGGCGATCGTCATGGGGTCTTCGCTGAGCGTATACCCGTTCGCTGCACTCCCTGGGAAGTGCAGCGACACGTGTGCGCGCGTGTTGATCAACATGGAAAGAGCAGGAGGAATTGGCTCTAGAAGGGACGATGTGCTCATGTTGGGCACGTGCGACAGTCGTGTGCGGAGATTGGCAAAGGAGCTTGGTTGGGACGTGGAGTTGGAAAAACTGTGGAACTCAATTCGTGGAAGCGAGGAGCCGCCAAAGGTTAGAACAGACGAAATGATTGAGGAAGAGGTGAGGAGATTGACGGAGGAGGTGGAGAGGGAGCTGAGAGTTGCGGAGGAGTACAGGGGACGGGTCGAGGAGAAATTGAAGACTGAGGATGAAAAGAGGAGGGAGAAGGAAGAGCTAATGGCCAAGGTTGAAGAGGACCTGGAGGGAAAGGCGCCGAAAAGTGAGGAGCGGGTGGATGACGCAACTACAGAGTTGGAGAACGAGATGCCGCGTTTGAGTCTGAACGGCAAGATCTAGGTTCCGTTAGTTGGTAGAAAGACGGTCTTTTCTTCCCCTTTCCTTTGCGTAGCTCGATTGTTTAGATTTTATCCAGCGCTCCTGTTCATAAAATCTTGTTTTATTTTTATGTCCTTTGCTTAATTGTGAAGGCTGATTCGTTTCTCGAAGGGTTCATTGATGCATGGCTGATAGGATGTATTCCTAGACTCGTCGGGTTTCCCTTTTATGCTGTACGTACATACGCACTTTGGGTTTGTGGGTCACAGAAGGCCGAGTGAGATGCCATGATTTCAGAATAAACAAAGCTGGCCACTCTTAAAACTTCAAGCACACGGGATCATTTCCCATATTTAAGATAGGTTTCCGACGGTATTTGTGTTATACGGTTGACCCCGGTGGGGTATTTGCACCTAATGCACCTACCCATGCCACGATGGTACATGGTAGAGTACACATGTGGCACGGGCCGTTGGCTCGGACAACACCGGAATGAATATCCTGGGCCTCCGTTCAAAACAGTTGCTGTTTGAATGAAGCATTGGATGAATATCCTGGGCCTCCGTTCAAAACAGTTGCTGTTTGAATGAAGCATTGGATGGATGGCAAGGCGTGTAGAAATGATAGCCCGGCTAGAATCAAAGCCAGAGTGGTTGGTGGTCGGAGAGAATGTAATAATTGTATGTGTGTCCTACCTCAGCTACGATTAATTGAGCTTTCGAGTTCCTGCCCTATATATTTCAGCGGAATATAGAACATGAACGCCTTTAATTACTTCCGTCCTATCCATGCTACTTTACCTATTTCTGATCAGAGTAAACCCCCCCAACCAAAGTACATACCTATTTCCAGAAATAACCCTCCCTTTCAACCCCCCCCCCCCCCCCCCCCCCCGGTCCTCTCTTCCCCCAATCGCAATGACGGCATGGAGGGCTGACTCAAACGCACCCACTCTGATCCTTTCCACAAGTCTCCGCACGTACCGGAAAAAATAAATAAAAAACTTGAAACGATGAGAAATCAGAAAAAGAAGTCGACCCAGTTGACACCCCTGTCCTCATTACCAAGAGTGTTGCATAATGCTTGGCGGGTCAGTAATAGCTAAACACATCTTCAAACCTTTAAACTGCTGGTCCATCTTTTCTACATACACAGTTGCTGCTTCCCCCATGTGAGCGAGCGAGTGCAGGCAGGTTACTACCATCATCTATGCGCAAGGTAAAACGGAGATTCTCAGTCAGAAACAGTGCTCCAGAGTAAGAAAACATGTCCTCAGGTAAATAGAAGCCGGATAAACCTGTAGAGTAGGGGGGTGGGTTAGTAATGATCGAATGGCAGTTTTACTAATACTCAATTGTTTGAACAGGCATATCACGCAGCAGAAGCTTAGCACGCTCATTCAACACTTACGCCCACCACTACACCCACAGCACACACTCGGCCTCCTCTACAATCTCCACGCCCCTCCTCACGCTCCCCAACGAGCTTCTCTTCCTTATCGCCTCCTTCTTGACCCCAAAGTTAATCAGCAACCTTATCAAAGCCAATCGCTACCTCGCCCTCCTTCTCACACCGCAGCTGCAAACACACGCGCTCCTCCCGCAATATGGCGAGACGGCATTATGGTTCGCAGCCAAAACGAAGCAAACGGCCTTCGTCCGCCGCATCCTTGAACACGGCTCCCGCGTCGCCGTTCGCGAGATAACAATTGCCGACGCGATGCTCGGCGCCGTCCTACACACCTCACCGGGAAAGCCAGAAGATTGGCTAGTTAGACTGCTCATAGAGAATCCTCGAAAAGTCATTATACATGACACGCGCTGCGGCGGGACACCAATGCATTGGGCCGCTCACTACGGGCACGCGGATATAGTCCGCTCACTACTCGAGCACCGCGTCGATATCCGCATCAAAGACGGGCGTGGACGGACGCCTCTTCACTGGGCTGCAAAGGCGGGCTATGAGGGCATAGTCATGATGCTTCTGGCCTCTGGTGCCCCAGTTGACTCGCAAGACAACTATGGGGATACCCCATTACACCGGGCTACGGAGCAGTCGCATACAGCGGTTGTTAAGGTGCTGCTGGAGAACGGTGCAAATGTTACACTGACGGAAGGGGATGGCGCCACGGCACTCCATTGGGCGGCGGCGTACGGAAAGGATAAGATTGCGCTCATGCTACTGCAGAGCAATGCGGATACGGAGAGTAGCGGGAGGAACTCGGAAACGCCATTGCACCAGGCGGCGGCCCACGGGCACGTAGGCGTCGCCAGGATGCTGTTGAAATTCGGAGCGAAGGCGGAGGCGGTCGATGAGTTTGGATGGACGCCTTTGCATCATGCGATTGCGAATGGGCATGAGGAAGTTGCGGTGCTGCTAGAGAGCCGGGTAGAGGTGTCGAGTAGAGATAGGAAAAGGAAAAGGGCCGCAATCGGGAAGGCCATCAGGGATATGAATATGAGGGCAGTGAGGTGGTTTTTGAGTAGGATCAGGGCCAGAAGTGCGTGACTAGATTTGAATGTAACGTCGGTTTATATATATTATTGGGTTGGTTTTTCTATACTTTGCAGGTTTATAGGGGTTTTCCTTCTTTCTTGTTTTTCTGGTGTTTATTCTTCTTTTACTACTATTATCTGCATTATCATTATCAGCATTGTCTGCATCACTACTGGCCGTATTTCCATAGGCATATCTGGCGCCATAGCTACATCCATAGAGGGGGCACTGGAAAATGAATACAGGAAGGGGTTTGATACTCATTGGGCCTGGTTTCTTTTCTGTGTCCTACCATGCACAATTGCAATTGTGCGGCACAACTGTCGACTATCTTTGACAAGGAAGACATTTCCAGCCGAGAACCGATCCATGTAAGCAGGAAAATTTAATTTCTCTTCTCTGCGCAAGGCCTATTTTACGAAGTCTGCATTACGCAGGCCGACGGCTATGCAGAACTTACGATAACAGGTGCGTACGTTATCTGGTTACGGGGGAATCCTTTGGAGTGGAAGTAGTGGAGTAAGCTTCCCAGGGCGAAGCCTGTTTTGTGGATTACCCCTTATTTATCGATTTATCTTGGTAGCCTGAGGTTAGTAGTATAACGTAGGGCTAGGCCCGGTGCATGGAGGTAAATGATAGAAACTCTTCCTTTTTTTTGGAGTTGTTGTTGAGGATGTAATGCACGTACGTATACGTACCGCATGTGCTATCGTGGCAGTATGCGGGAAGAACTTTAATTTGGATTGATTAACACACGTGACTGTTGTATACGATTGACATCTGAAGGGGGATTAGGCCGCACAATAGACACATACTCGGTGGGTTTGTGCATACATGTATGTAAGCCGTAGGCACACCAAGGGGCCGTATGTTACTCTACATGGAGTACTCCACCAGCTTATCCATCTGGGAGGATTAGTGGTAGCCGCTCAAAAATTAAGGTGGCAGTGGAAGCTTAGGAGCTTCTATCGGATTCATGCTTCCTGAATTTAGCCCGAGCATCAGCTAGAATTACATATGTACTCTAACCCACCCAGCTAGTAGGTCATTGAGGATGGGACCATACCATAGCTACATATCATACAATTAAACTCTAGTTAGACCACTGGCGGATTTGTTTCTTGAGGGCGCCCCGCTCGTAGGGGCCATATGCATGGTGGCCATTCCTGAAGATATTGTCCTCATGAATTCGTCAGTATCCTTTAAGCATATATGGAGTTGGCACGGAGCTTGATTTCTTCTCCATAAGTAGATGATAATGATAGAACGAACTTATGAAAAGAAAGTTTGAGTTCCAGGGCACAGATGGAAGGGAATCGAGGGTAGTACTACGCCTGCCGATCAGGCTGATCTGTTGACGGTAGGAACTGCTGAAACCACGGCCACTGTCAACAGACTTGCCCAGGCAGGCGTAGTATATCGGTACTGCAGAGCTCGCATGCCGTGACTCATGTAGATACTCGAAGTCCGATTCCAGCTAGCAAAGAGAGCGAGTGGGGGGTATTAACACCACCGGCTAGTGTCGAGGGCGAGATCCCCTATAGTTCTGGATCAACTGATGGGGCCCGGGAGGAGCTAGAGAAGGGGGGGGGGGGGGACGAGAGTATAACCAGGCTCGGTCTGGGAATATTAGGTCTATGGTGTTGCTACCACTCGTCACCACGGTGTACGATTATTAAGATGAGGGCTGTATACCTCAGTTTTGTCTCCTTGGTTATGGCAGCTAGCGAGAATCACGGATGAGGGAGGAAATTCGAAAGGCGTGCAAAGTTGTAAAGAAAGAGATTGAGGAATGACAGAAGCTCAATGAATTGATAAACAATGATCTAGCTTTCTGGCCGCAGTTGCAAAGAGGAACATGCCAAGGTGTTGACATGACGTGTCCTGGCACGGCCTCGCTACTACTTGAAAAGCCACAATTGCCGTGATTCTCGACGGTTCGAGTGATAATGTATGATGTAGTCTGTCTACTCGTATAATCCCAAGCCTCTTTCCCACGGATATACGTGACCTGCTGACTGAATGCGTTTTAGGAGCGAATGGGCTATCGCGTGCAGCGAACTTCTACATGTATCGCTTTATCCCCGCATGGTAAGCAGTCCACAAGAACCTGAGTAAGATTTTCTTGTCGCTCCCGAGTCCTTCGACTTGTTACTCCTAGCGACATGGCTCTTGTCATCCGTCACGCGCCTTCTGACTTTTACTCTGGCCCACACACGAACACTCATCATCCAGTCCAAATTCTTGGGCAGCAAAATTCAGCGAGGAGCGATTTTCTGTAAACCAATCGTCCCTAGTCACTACAAGTATGTTCGCCACCCCGGGGCGTTCCTGCGTGGACTAGAACAGTCGCGCCTGGTCTTCGTGTCTAAGGTCGGTATAGGATTTCGTTCCTTGATTAGTACTTTTAGCGGTAGTTTTGATATTTCCATATTATGTTTAATTACCTAGTTGTGCGGTTGACTTGCTTATTGATTCATGCTGTTCCTAGCCATACCAGGTCTCTTCACAAACTATCACTCGGCTGTGAAGTAGGCTCATCTTCGCAGCCGAGTAAGCTGCCTATCATTTGCTCTGAAACTAGATCAAATACCAGAGCTTTCTAGAATGCTTCTATTTGTGTTTACCTACAGGGAACGGTGCCCAGATAATTCCCGTCCTTACCTACCTCTAGAAAGGGCTTCCCTGCGAGTATGAATTAAATAAAAAAAAGAAAAAGAAAGGGCTTCCCTCAGAGCGGCAAAATCTAATCTTAGCAGATCCCAAAGTCACTTGCTATAAATTCCCATGCAAACGTTTCCACTTTATTTCTCCAATCATCTACCCGCCCAAGCTCGTTAGCATTGATCTTGATGGAGTAAAAACTCCATAAGATCTTTGCCACAACCACAAAGCCCTCTGTCCCCCTACTCCAAAATAATTTGGAATGGGACTCGGTTTCCCCGTTTAAACTTTTTAAACGGAACCGCGAAGCTACGGTTGGAGCGTTTCTCGGTGGGTTAGGGTTATTTGTAACAATTCTTTTTGAAAATAAATTATTTTCTGATCAATAAACTAGTAGCTTCATTCTCTTTGACTTATTGGTGGTAACAAACTATTTTTCTAGTGAAGTAGAACAGTTCCCAACATTCGATTTATTACCATTATGAGACAAGACCAGCACAACACAAGCCCAAGCATCATAGTATCTCACTCGACAACAGAATTGCCAAGAACATTAAAGCGCATCATTATCATAATTCAAAATCCAAATGCAAGATAAACAAATTACAGATGCCAACTAAATCATAAACAGAAGCACCTCCACATTACGTAAAGCCTAAACCTCCCGCTTCTCATCCAAGATGACAGGCTTCTCCTTTTCCATCTCTTCATGGCTAGTCTTACCATCGCGATCGCCGCCGCCCACAACCTGGCTTGCGTCAAAGTCCTGGATAGCCCTATCGAGCCCGATCTCTCTGTTGATCTCTGCTTGCCTCTCGAAGTCGGCTGCGGCGACACCTTCACTACCGAAGATTATGTCCATTTCCTCTGTTCGCGGTGTTAGTATTCGCCTAGAAACTAGTATACGCCTCGAAACGGGGAAGGTCATGTAGGGATTGAGATTGAAGACTTACCGAGAGAAAGCTGCTTGGTCTCCGGTACGAAGAATAAGATGAATAGAGCACCCAATGTGGTGAAGAGACCAAAGAAAACATATGTCCCCCACCGCATCTGCTCCAACATATCGGGCGTGACTTGTCCAATAATAAAGTTATTCTATAGTACCATTGTATTAGTACCACTAACTAGCAACCGATAGTATTGGGGAAGTAGTAAATACCATCCAGTTAGAACTAGCACCAAGGGCGATTCCCTTTGCGCGCACACTCAATGGCCACACCTCCGCGACCAAAATCCACGCGCAAGGTCCCCACGAGTACCCGAAATGGATGACAAACAGCCAAACCATTGCTACTGCACCCCATCCCGCAGCTTTGTGTGTTTCCCATTGGTTCTCGTTCTTGGCAAAGATGATGGCGATGATGAAGTGGCAGAGCGCCATTCCAATTGCGCCGACGAAGAGGACGGGTTTTCGGCCGAGGGAGTCGATGTACATGACTGCTGGGATCTGTATTGTGGTTGAATTTTAGCAGAGTGTTGTGGAGGACTTTTTTTTAGTGAGATGACTTACGGTGGCTAGGAACATGACAATACCGACTACTCCGGTGGCGAGGAGAGAGGTTGTTGTGCCGGACATACCCAACTGGCTGAAAATGGAGGGAGCATAGTACAATACCGCATTGATACCAGTAAATTGCTACAAAGGTGTCAATATTAGCATTACTACCCTCCTCAAGTCACACCATCCGCATTCTAGGGGTTCCAGAAACATACCTGGAAAAACATAGTAACCGTCGAAACCATTACCCTTCTAAACATACTCTTACTCTGGAACAAGCTCACAAAGCTCAACGCCTCCAGCTTAACATAGCTCCACGTATCCTTCCTCTCCAGATGCGGGAACTTCTCGGCCTCGGTCCTCTTCTCAAACATACTTTGACTCTTGATCTCCAGAAACTCGAGGTTGATCAATGGGTGGTCTCTCGCAAGTCCTCTGAGACTTGCTAGAACATCGAGAGCTTCTTCTTCACGGTTGTGATGGGCGAGCCAACGTGGAGAGAAGGGCATGAATAGGATACCGACTCCGAGAATCACGGCAGGGACGAGTTGGAGGGCAAGTGGGAGGAGCCACGCGACGTCCTTTTGCCCATCGCCGGTGCCGCCAATGTGGTTGGTACCATAGTCAACCCTGGGTTAGATTAGTATTTTGATACTCCGCGAGAATGAATGACATCTAATACCAGAAGGAAACCATGATTCCGAAAGTGATAGCTAGCTGCTGCAGACCAACAAGAGATCCTCTAACTTCCGGAGGTGCAATCTAAACGCAATTCGATTAGCCCTCGTTATATATGGCACCTCCAAGGGCTCCATAATATATCACTTACCTCGGCGTTATACATGGGAACTGTCATACTCAAAGAACCAACACCCATACCAGTAACGAACCGCCCACCAAGAATGTATTGATCATCACCAACAATAGAACAGCATTGAACAATGACTCCAATACAGAAAATAATCACGTTCACGAGAATGGTGTATTTTCGAGATATTCTCTCGGCAAGGACACCAGAATAAATTGTACCGGTCCAGGCTCCGAGTTCGAGAATGGCTATTATAGTTGTTAGGAGGGATTCGAATATAGCAATGGGTGTTTAATAACATACCAGTAAGCCAACCCTTCTTCGTAGAGTCTGTAACTGCGTCTCCCATGTGCTTTCCAAAGGAGTTCATAGCCACTATAGAGTCAAATGTTAATGAGAATCCCAAACAAACGAACTAGAAAACTTTGCACTTACAAACTCCAGAGAATACACCCTGATTGTACCCATAAAGCAATCTAAATTCGTCGAGATCAGTATTTGAGTTTTCAAAGAAATGATCGATTTCCGTGATCATCATACCCTCCAAGACACGCAAACAACGCCATTCCAAAAACCTTTGCATTCTGGACTAAACCTGCAGGTCCCGACGGTCCTGCGAGGGCCTTACGTCTCAGTACCGCCGCGCTATCTGCACCAGCAGCTGAAACCGTTCCTACAGCCATGATAGCTATAAACCTTTGCTGAGAATTCCGCTGAAAAGATGTTTTTCCCTTTCTTTCTTTGGCACGTAGTGTAAGGGAGTCTGGCCACGTCCTGCAAAAACCCCGAGGGATGGGAAAGCTGGGGTAGCTATTTATTTGAGTTTAGTTTTACTGATTACATACAGCTATATTGCTAAGATCCCAAGATATCGGCTAAGTTTAAGAAAGATATGGGGTTGTGGGGGATGCTTAGGCGAGGACCTAGTATTCTACAGCCTGAAGGGACAACGGTACCGGGTAAAAACGACAAAGCCGCTAATTTGTTAACATTTTGGGGGTAGAGAGTCAGTGCGTCTGTAAAAGACCTCATATGGATCCTGTAACTTGTGATTACTATCGGCCATGATGGAGGAATTCGTTGTATCTAACCCAGAGAGAATTTTTATTAAACGCTGGTCCCATCCGCGTGATCTGGGGGAGGGTGGGGAATTAACATGACAGTAATATAGATGCACGTTAGGGTTAAAGATTATCTACATGTGCGTACGTACTAGTATGTATTGTGCATAGACATGGGGGCCATGGTGCGATGAGTGGTAATCAGTTGAAAACCCATCCTGTCAGAAGGCTCAGCCAATGCGATACATATCGGCATCCTGGGGCCCTGCTGAGAAAGCTGGATTGGAGAAAACTTTTTTGTCTTCTCTAACCTCGACAAAGATTATTGTCGTATGTTGTAGAAGTTATCGGTTGTGTGGAGGAATCGCCGGGGGTGCTCCGTGCTGGTACCAACAGTATACGAGTTGGCCGACGGCCGGAAGGTCGGCGTCGTTGGGGTACGACCTCCGACATGTCTGCAAGATACAAGCTTCCCTATGTGTGATCAAAGAGATATAGCGGATTTGGGTAGGCAAGGCGGATAAGGCACCCCCATCCTGAAGTTCCCTTGTGTGATCAAAGAGATATAGCGGATTTGGGTAGGCAAGGCGGATAAGGCACCCCCGTCCTGAAGTTCTCTATATATAGAGAAACAACTCAGGTCATAAGTCCTCACTCGACATTGCAACATCCAGAAGTTGTCGGTGTCGCGGAAATTACTATACATACATGTAGTCATTTGGGGGCAACGACGAAATTGATTGATCGATAAGCAGGGATCTTTTGTAGCCAAAAAGTGGTGCACGGGTTGATATTTAGTCAATTGCCTAGGCCCGGATTTTCGTCGTTGTCCCAGCTGGTATCGACACAGACCTTGAATCAAGTCTTTCGCTCTTTGCACCTTGTGCTGTTCCTTTGGGGTGGCGGTCAAGTCGGAGAAACATAAGTACCATAGTTGTAGCCGTATCAAGGCGTAGGATAACACACTTCAGCCTTATGAACATTCAGTGATTTCGGACTGACGTTTGAAATACAATTCATGTTAGTAACATTAATATAAGAGCTAGAGCGTAATACCATATAACGACTCCAGGCAAATTCAAGAGAAGGGGAAATTTGTTCGATCTCATGATAGGACAAGATAGAAGGGAGGCCGATTGTAATTGATTGAGAAGGCATTAAGCTTCAACGATTCTGTACAGCTGTACTTAAACCGTCACCTGTGTTGAAAATAGAGACTTCAATGATAGATCTTCGATGAAAGGGAACAGAGTTGAACGAGAGTAAAGGAGAGGCGAAAGAGAGAAGGGAAAGGAAAGGCAGGTCTAACAAAGTGGAGTACAATACATGTATGTACATATGTATTTAACCCCAAAAGACCCCTTCGACACGCCTTTGCTGCCAAACGCTAACCTGTTGCAATGTGACCGCATCCCAACTTGTTGGCAAATTCCGCAATTTACCAGGACGTAGCGTTTTTCTAAGCTTTAAGGTTTCTGAATCCCTAGCCTAGTCTCGTGCCCAGCCTGTGGTGTGATTCTCCAGCACGCAGAACGAGGCACGAGACTAGCCTTAGGTACTCCATAAGCCTCTTCAAGAGGTTCGATCCCCACCATGGGCCTACAGGAAACATTCTGGCCGTAGTCTTCCATTCGAAGATTCTTCCTCTCACACTACTCCACCCCCTCTTCGCATGTATCTACGTGCAGTGATGGTGAGTACGCTCTTTGATTCCAGATTCCGTCATAGTTAATGAGCAAGTTGATTTTAAACTAGCGCGGACCGTAGATCATTGCGCACGTGAAGCCCTCTAAGATAATTTCGTCCCTATCTTAAACACTAGGACTCTTAACCAGCCAATGCTCACCAAGTTTCCTAGAACTTTCTTAGTGTAACTTCACGTATGGGTAACCACCAGGATTATTTTAAGGAAGCTTAGGGTTAGAAATTCAGTTAATCCTACCGTCCCCGCTGGGGGTATGTGTAATAGCTTATACGAGAGCAAGGTAACATGGGTGCTATAGAACAAGGGAACAGACGCCGGCGAGCAACACCTAGCTGGCTAGACTTACAGCCCTATGATGCCCGGACCTAAAAAGATAATTAGCAATGACGAGGGGATATGATACAACTAACGAGCCCATGAGGAAAATTCTACATCCAGTAGCGGCAGTTCTCTCCGTTCATTAGCCTACTGTCAGATGACCCATAGCTATTAGAAGAGTATTCAAATACTTAAAATGAACTCTCTGAGTTAATTTGCGGGCCTGCTTCGTGCGAAGAAACCTTGAGGGATTGCTTCCTTGGGGCATTGTATGCCCGTGAGTGGTCAACAGTCGCTAAAAACGACATCACTAGACGTCAAGCTAAGCTACGAACTTTCATATTTCCGAATCTCCAATATCCTATTAGTTAACTCACCGGTGCCGTTCACAGATCACTACGTAATGATGGACACATCGCATAAATGTAAGGCGATAGTGCTTAAGCAGAGTACGATACATCAAAGAGGATTGCATTGGCCCTCCTTCTTTGAGTTTACGGCCACCGTCCACACAAGCAGTTACAACGGAGATCTATTGATTGCTACATACCATCTCTGCTCCACCTCCTTATTAAGGGTACTTCGTTGTTTTTCTGGCCCTAAGCCCGGCAATATGATATCGAAATCCCAAGACCGAGGTCTGTATCAAGAATGTGTGTATGAGTGCGAACGGACGTACATCTATTACAAGATGAACTACGATGCATCATACCGCCAGCGATGGGATATAGCACAGAATTACTATCACGTGCTGGAGGCAATTCTCCGGTTATCTTTTTAGGGCTATACTAATGCGTTGATTGGCCCGGGCAACTACTTAAGATCCTTTACCAGTATCCTAAAACGGATGTTGTTCCTCTAGGATTTGAATAATAATCAGGGAAGTATTAAAAGTCCTGGGGGGCTGAATGATAGAGTTATCAGAGTGGAACGCGGGGAGTACTCAACCATAAACCCTTTTGGTACTGTGAGTTTTTTAAAAGTGGGGACAGCGATTAATTGCCCCACCTAGGCCTGTGGTTGATATTCTAATAAAAACTTCCGGAAATCTCGCCCCGTGATTTGGTTTCAGATGAACTTGAAACTTGCGCACTCAATTTCTACTTTAGCGCGAATTCTATCTTAACTACATGTACTCTATGTACATGGAGTACAACTACGTACAGGCAACCCAGTGAGATATATATCCTAGAATTGTTGGCTGAAGAGGTTCTGGAATTAAATCCTAGCTAGGATCACCCCAGGATCTTGACGAAAACCCGCAAAAAGAACTCCCGGCATCGAACTAGGTACATGAAAATACCAACATATCATCTAGCTACTGCGCTGTAGCGGATTTCAAGCCGGACCGTCGGGTGATCGCTGCACGGTAGATACATCTGCGTATGATTCGTGATCAAAGGTTTAAGGAAGCTTTGACAGTTGATCCATCTCTCGATGAAGGCGCTGAATGGTGTCGTTGGAGATCGTCTTGAATACAGCTGGCAAGACGTCTAATTGTCTCTCCCTCTTGACATTTCTTTTTTTGAATAATTAGATGGTCTGACTATCTGTTTAGTCATATCTCCCTCGCTTGGTTGACTAAAGGAGGAAATGATAGCCTTACCACTAGTACGTTGAGGAGCGCGATTCATGAAACATCACTCGCCACCGTCCGTGCCCAGCTGCAGTTTGCATGTGAGTGTTGAATTGATATTCCTAGAACCTCTATCATATATCATTAACTAAAATAAATCAGCTATCTATGTTCTTCTGCTCCCTGTACTACGGCCTTTCCCCGGTTCCTACCGGCCGGAAACCTGCATAGGAAAAATAAAAATTCAGTAGACGATTCCATGTGTACTCTGAAACGAAATAGTCTACAGCCTTGTGAATGAGCAACGCTCGCCCTCGCTCGTATCAGGTTGGATATAAATCGAGACAATATTTCGGCTCACGTCATAGGTCACGCAGATAGGTTACACAGCCCGGGCATGGCGGAGATTCTCAGGGCTGTGAGTGGATGGATTGTAGAAACTTAAAGCACTAGCTCAACTAGCTCGCCGGGAAACTGATGTCAAGAAAGATCCCCTTGGAATGGTTGGCCTGTTTTTCTAGTCATAGGTGGAGATCTCTGGGAATGGAACCTATCACAATGGTTTCTATTGAGCTACTACCGGGCCTATCCTTGTCGTATGTCTGGTAGAAGCATTTCATCATATAAAATTGTTCTGGAATGACTGTCAATGGTGGGGGTAGAAAAGATTATTGAAACTGCCTTGTGACGGTTATCTATTGAGATGGATGGTGGGCGAAAGAAGAATCCCGGGCTTCGGAATTAAGGCATTTTTTCCATAAAGAGGGGAAAAAAAAAAAAAAAAAAAAAAAAAAAACCTTGAGCTGAGTAGATATGTATCCCTTGGACGTATGAAACTTGCAAATTCGCGACCTGGACCGTGCACGCACTTAGTAAGGCAATTGTCTTTTGCAGGTGATAATAATAATTGAGCCAATCAAAAATCAGCTATAGTTACCACATAAGGCTAGTGATAGCTGAAAGAGGGAAGTCGCGAATTTGCAGGTTTCATCCGTCCAAGGGATACATATATGATATCCAGGAGCTGTTTCGAGTGATCATCCTAATTATTATTTTTATCATATGCATCGCTAGTTCTCTACCAAGATCTAGAAGACTGAGCCGGCTCCTCCAAGCCAAATGTCTATTATAGTCACAATTAGCATCCAATTGCATCTACTATATCCCTAAATAAATCTGTCATATATACGACAGCTCTAATTGACATCGAAGTCGGATACCGGTGTTCCCATCGCGGCCGCGCGATGTCAGTGATGTTCGCTGAAAAGCATGGAAGCAGGGAGTAATGAATTCAGCGCTGATCATCTGGATTGATTGGCCCCACTAATGTTGAGTGTGCATGCGTGCAACGTCTTCATTGGCTAGATTGTGTGATGGTCGGCTGACGTACTGTACCGCGCCCCAAATTTCATTTCTTTGGGGCCAGAAACACTTCCTTGATAACCTTTTTGAGTGGGCGGTAGTTCAGTTGGTCGGATCATATCTACTCTCTACGTAGTGAGTACTGCATGCTTCCTTGATCAGGCATGCGGGAAACGGTGTGGCGGGCACCATAGCGAAACAAAAAAACAACGTCAGCTAGATGCTTGAGAGATAGAGGTTTTGGTGTGTGCCAGTGGAGCTCGCGATATCAAGAGTCACAATAATAACATATAACAGATTGTTCTTTAAATAGGACCCTCGATATCCCCTATCTTCTACCCTGCCCTTTCTCCGTTCGATCATACTCAAACTTCGTTCACCTACCAGCGATATACCGTATAATACTCATTATATCATACGATATTCCCCCAGAAAGCTATACCCTTCATCAATATCTAATATTACACCCCAAAAAAAAACATCCACCTTTTCCCATAACATGTCGAGCAATCGTACTCAGTTCGGCAGCACTTCGCACATGACTCAACCAACTACCCTTAGACCTGCCCTAGTCCGGCGCAGCTCCAGTCAACGTCCCCGTGTTGGTCCCCGAACCCGTAGCTACACCGGTACAGGTACTGGTGCTGGCCACAGCTCTCGCGCACCTGAGCAACGGCACAGTGCTTCTTACGCTCCCCGCCGGGACCTTAATTCTATGATACAGCCTAGCAGCCGGCCCAGCTTCATGAGAGCCCTCACTGCTATGAACACATCTCTCAATAGAGCCAGCCCCAGAACTGTCCAACCATCTGCTCATGATGGAACTCGGAGAATGCAGGTTGTGCAGCCTGGGCATCGCGGCGGTACACACCGCACGGAGCATACACATGTATCGGAGCATACACATGTAACGGTAGCTCATGCATCCGTGGCCCCCGCCAGACGAAGCCAGAGAATCTCGTCAGCGGCAGCACAGGATAGGAGACCTAGCACGGCGACAACGCATAGTAACAGACCAAGCACCGCGGTGGTGAATAGCAGACCGAGCACAGCGATGGTACCCCACGGACATGGACACGGTCCAGTTGAGCAACATCATGGACACGGACACGGGCATGGGCATGGGCCGGAGCACATACATGGAACTAGGGGCTTGGTGAGGGTAGGTGGTAGCAGAGGAGGATATCCCCACCATTAGTTGGTATTTAGCTAGGTGTGCATGTGATGGCTAGTTGATGGATCAGCTTGCATTTTGTCAGTCGTTTGCACGATTTCGTTTGTTTATTTGGCATTACCGGAGTTGGTATTAGTTGGGTCGGGGAATGGGGCGCTGGATATGATGTGTTTTATACCAATAATATTTTGAAGTTACGTGGGTATAGATATGATGAATTGATATCCTCGATAATCATGTACTCAAACCGAGTGATATTCTATGAAAAGATCCTTAAACATACGGAATTAACTTATACTAACGGATAAAACTGTAGTTAAAGTTTTTAAGTACGTTGTTTGCTAATATGTCCTTGACACTTGAAATTTCTCTATAAATCAAACGCTGCATTCCTCTCTTCTCTTTGAGACCTTTTACCGAAAAACAATCTTTAATCCTGATCTAATCGAACATCGGTTGCTAAATATTAATATCTTACAGGTTGCAACCTCGCCTCCATCATTATTCATTCGTAACCCCGACCAGTACTTCCAGCGCCATGACAAATACGAGGTCCCCTAGAATCACTCCAGACCCAAATTCAAATGATCTATCTTCACTCCCAACAACGGCGCGTGAAACTGGGATGCATGCACATCCCTTTCACCAAAACCACCACTAGGCCTTGGCCTTGGAATAGTGGCCTTGAACGCCAATGCTTGATCCCACCAAACCGCAACAACCTCATCTTCCCTTCCTTTCATTTGATACAGTTCTGCGATGACTCCAGCTGAGAGCACTGGCGGATCTGCAGCTTTGATCTTGTGGTATATATGCGCCGAGGTGGCTGGGAACATCACGTCAAGTGTCAACTCAAATGGGCCAGCGTTTTTGGAGCGAATAACCTTTGCGGCGTCGGATAGGTATATTGGTTTACTGTTGTTATTTACTTTCTCTGGCATTGGCGGAGACGGACGAGGGGCTGAATGAACTGAATTCTTCTCCGGGCCGGCCGCGCTCTGACCATCAACGTCCTCGTCTTCTATTCGAGGTTCCTTCCTCGAATTGATATCAACCACGACGGTCTTAACGAATGAATCGGGATCCTCAACCACCATCAGATGGTACACACTGAACTCACACACAGCCCCCATTTCAATATCCAACGGACTAAATGGCATTGCCATATTACCTGCCGTCGCCAGCTGCCCTGGATATGGGCCATGAACACAAGCAACCCTTGCAGTGCTGCAGATCAATGTAGCCAGTTCTTGCGTCTCTGCCTGTATTTCTCCAATGATACACAACTCGTGTGGGGAAGGTTCGATGACGGGTTCAAACGCGCCCATGACGCCGTCCTTGCCATAAGTGTGGAAGAGTATTTTGTATTCCACGCTGGGATTCTGCGCTGTGACATACTTTTCAACTTTCTGGAGAAATTCTTCGATTTGAGCGATAAGTATTGGGTCTCTGATCCCACCAATAAAGATACTCCGATACCCGCACGACCTCGCGCCTTCGAGCTTAAGTGTGTACTTGCCCGCAGGGGCCGGAACAAACAAGCCTCCTTGGACCCTGACACTTTTTCCATCTGGCAGCTCTTTGTAGTCAGATGCGGTCAAATCTAGACACCCTCCAGGTCCCAACAGTATATCCGGACGCGCCTTCTCATATAACGTATGTGCCGCCACACTCAGCGTGGTGCATCGCGCCCCTTCATCCAGCGGTGTAATATCAAAACTATTCTCTCGTACCGTTGCCAGGGCACTCTTACATTTTGGCACCGCGCAGAGGCCCCCACACTCCATGATCTTTCCCATGTGGTAGCCTACACCTAGCTCTATTCTACCCCCGCTCTTGTAAGAGCAAAAGGCCGCATAGGGCGCCGGATCGTACGCACGCCCGATCAGAATGATATCAAAATCGGGATGTGATTCCATGGCCGCCAGGATGGACTCGTGGCCGATTTGAGCGACCACCCGAGGAGTTTCGTTGAGTAGCTCTGGTGTGAGTGCATGTACCGGGCCGCATGGACTGATCTTACCAGCAGCGAGGTGCTGTAGGATGATAGGTTTGGGAACCTCGGTGTAGAGGGTTAAGACCTTAAAGGAGTATCCATGTTTTTCCGAGAGGGCATTGACGATGTTGAGGAATAAATCGACGTGATCGTTGGAGCCGTCACCGCCACAAGAGCTGATGATGACGGGGAGCTTATACTTATGGCAGGCCGCAAGGAGGGGGGTGAGGTCGCGGACGTAGGAAGCTTTGGGAGTAGTGGTTTGTCCAAGCGCTAGCTTTTGAGGGCCAGAATCGGTAGAGCCAGAGTCCATAATTATTGCATCAGGGCGGTGGGTGAGGATACTGGAGTTAAGAAGGGGAGTAGAGAAGCCATATCCTAGCATGCCTATGGGCGTAAGGATCTTGACCTCTTGGGAGGATTCATTGGAGCTATTAGGGTTGTTAGAGAAATGAGCTTAATTTAAGGGTAATGATTTACTAACCAGTTTTCAGACATGTTTGAAATAGGCTGTAGGTATGTGGGTTTTAGGTATTCGGGGGCAGTACAGTGCAACTAATAATGTTAGGAAAAAATGTCTTGGAATCCTCTACCAGTTTATAGCTACAAAAATGAGAAAGAGCCCAAGCGAAATTCGCTTTTACTTCCGTGTATCCGGCTACATCTGTGCACACAAGTAAACACGATACAGACCGAACCCCTGGCAAGAGGAGTAGAGTAGCTGCAATGTCTGTCGAATCAGGTTCCATGCATTGCTAAGAGGCAGTACATATTCGTTCTATTGAAGATATGATCTGCTCCACGCACTCTATGTAAGTCCGCGTAGTCTACTCCGTCGTGTTTAGTTATGCTTAAAAACACCCCCCCAGAGCAGTTGCCGTTGAGTGAGTTAAAACCCTAAAATAGAGGGTGCCAAGCCTTATCATTGACTCCTACTTTCGGCTTCCCAAGCGAATCTCGCTTTATGGGGGGCTAAGCCATTTCTGGCTAGAATATCATTACGCGGCAACCCAAAGTGGTAGGAACCCTAGTTTCCCCGAGGAATTTGTGAACTGGGGTAATGATGGTTCAGAGGGTTTTCGCTGTAGATCTACCAGAGTAGATGAAGGCTTTATAAGACCTGGATGAATTCGTTTCATTCCCTATCGACTCAGTATTATAGTTAACAACAAGACCGAATACCGGCCATTGAAAACTCTAGAACTTGTTAACTCCATCAATTTTCCCATTTTCACAATCATTGACATCAAGCAATGGCGTCACCGAACAATCGAGACAATCTCGAATCTACTCTAGAACTAGTAGAATCCATGGCCGCCCCGCCAATAGACGCTAGCCAGCAAGCTCGGCCGGAAAGCCCGACCCCTCCGAGCACCGCTGACTCCATCCAAGTGCAAAAGGACGGGCTTCCGGACTCCGAGATCTCCACACTCGTCACTAGCGCCTTTGAGCGGCGCCTTGTGTGGAAGATCGATTTGTTTATCCTGCCCATCCTGATTACGGTAAACTTCCTCGCGCACATGGGCCGCTCCGATATTGCAAATGCGAAGATCGCCGGCATGGGCGACGACCTGGCGATTACGCCGAGCCAGTACTCCATGCTGGGGAGCATCTTCCTCGTGGGCTACACGGTCTTTCAGCCTGCGGGTACGTTGTTCCTGCATCTATTAAGTGCGCCGGTGCAGTTTGGTGGCGCTATGCTAGCGTGGGGTTTGGTTACTATGTGGTAAGCATTTGGTCTCCTTTGAGTAGTTTAGTATTTGTAAACACTCTTAATCAAAAAAATATATATCACATTCCCTACCCACAATCAATCCGTTAATTTATAATGAATCGAACTCTCGGCTAATGATGGTAAATATATAGCCACCTTCAGGGAAACACCTACACTGCTGTCCTCGCACTCAGGTTCTTTGTTGGTACCGCAGAGGCTTTCGTCCAGGGTACTATCCTATACTTGTCCTTCTGGTATACATACCGCGAGCTTGCACTCCGTGGTTCCATTTTCCAGGCCACCAGTTCGCTGGCTGGTGCATTCAATGGTCTTATTTCCTATGCTATCACCACCACACTTAACGGCGTCAATGGATGGCCTGCGTGGAAGTGGATCTTCTTCATTGAAGGGGTATGTATCTCCTTCTATTCACTTCTCCCTTTCCTCAAGACATCATACTCATAGTGTGTTTCATAGTTGGTCCCATTGGTCTTCTCCCTTGTAGTCTTCTTCCTCCTTCCCTCAATCCCCGATAAAGCAAGATTCGGTTTCTCCCAGGAAGAACGAGACCTCCTCGTGAAGCGCTCCAGAGCGGCACACAACACCGCCGACACCAAGCTCCGCCCAAATCTCGTCTGGAAGGCGCTCCTCGACCCCAAGGTCATCCTCCTGGGGCTCCTCGCCGGCGGGACCCACTTCGCGATGTCATCGCTCTCGAACTTCATGCCCGACATCATTCTCGGCCTGGGCTTCTCGAATGTGAACGCGCAGCTCATGTCCGTCATCGTCTATGTGTGCGGCGCCGTAACGACGCTGTTTGCCGGTTGGATCTCGGACAAGATCAACCGCCGTGGAATCCCGCTGATGATTTCGCTGTGTGTGATGGTGGTGGGATATGTAATGCAGTTGGTGACGAGCTCGCTGCAAGCCCGGTTTGCGGCGACGTGTTTGTTGGCGATGGGGGGCTTCCCCGCGGCGGTGCTGACGCTGATGTGGATGGTGGTTAATGTGGTGGGGTACACCAAGCGCGGAACGACACTGGCACTCATGAATATTGTAGGTCAGGTGTGTGGGATTGGCGGGAATCAGGCGTATAGTGATCCACCGTTGTACCACAAGGGGCATGGCGCCAGCTTGGGAGCGGTGGGAGGCTCGCTGTTGATTTGCGCGATAATATATGGGTATCTCACCTGGTTGAACAAGGAGAAGAAGAGAAAACAGTGGGGGGAGAAAGCGGCCAAATTGAGAGACGTGAGTTATGATATTATTGGGGATGACCATCCAGACTTTTTTTATACACTTTGAGTGTATGCAGTCAGGGATGTTAGCTAGTTCGATTCTGTAAATGGTTTTCTTCTCCCTTTACTACATTATTTTGGTTTTAGGTAGTTCTTTTGTATTTCTAGCCACCTTTGGTTTCGATAGTTTCTTCTGTTTCTTATAAAAAAATTTATCGTCTTCTCCTTATGTTAGGAGCACTTTGAGAAAATTATCCTTTTTTCGTTGTCCACAGTTCTGCGATTATTGCAAGCTAGTTCGATTCTGTAAATGGTTTTCTAAGTTCTTCCTTTACTACATTCTTTTAGTTAGATTTTTATTTTGTATTCCTGCCCACCTTTGGTTTCGATAGTTCCTTCTGTTTCTTATCAAAGTTTGTCGTCTTCTCTCTAAATTTAAGTTAGGAGCTAGTACTGTTCTTTTGCGTTATCCATAGTTCTGCAATTACAAGCAGGGTTCCGAAATGGTAAATAGTATCATTGATACCTAGCTCCTAGCTGAAACAGGCGAAAGAACCCAGGCTAGTCTATATTCGTAACTGTCAACACTCCTAGTGTCAGTCTTTAACAATCTAGCCCAATCAAATTATAAGCCTCATCAATCAAAGCTTCATGATATAAAAACCTAAAAACGCCTTGGAGCGACAGGGAGAGATCAACTCAACCTCACCAGGGTCAATTGCTTGTTTTACCCAGGACCCTGTAGTTAATTGTCTCAGGATGAATACGAGAAGCTTGATCTAATCAAGAGTTTTCCCCTCCCTCCCCTTTCTTCGGTGCCTTCATTGCCAGTACCCCATACCTCAAAATAAAACCTTCTAGAACAAATATAATCTCCGTCAACCTCTCCAAGGCACCCTGGCCGTGACGTCGGAGGCAGTTCCGCAGACCGTCAGTAATCATAGAATCAGCCCCAATAAGTCTTGGCAACATCTTCAACCTCACCTCGCCAGTCCGGAGGCCGACAGCTAGCTATCACCGCCTTGGCTGTCCCCCCATTGCCGCGTAATCCAGATTTATTCTCCAGCGTTACAAATACTCTGATTTATCTGTCTGTAGAACGTGCTGCTTGAAACTAGTGACCAAGCTAAAACCAGAACAAAATGTCTTCAACCACACCATCAATCATTAGCGACGGCGACACCGGCGGGAAAGAGAAGACCGCCCGGAGAAGCACTACGAGATCAGCAAACACCGGCGGCCAGGTGAAGCGTAAGCGGACTCAAAACGCGTGCACTACATGTCGCCAGCAGAAGGTAGGATATATACCTCTCCGACTCTATATGCCATGCCCATTTATCCGTGTCCAGGAGAGGTCTAATTCGTAATTCAAAGCTACGATGCGACGGGCCGAGTAAATTTCCAGCGCCATGTTCAAGATGCGCAAGTCATAATCTTCAGTGTAAGGTGGATCCAACGTTCAAACGGACACCGGCAAAACAGTATGAACTTCCCATTGTGGTACAAGCAATGCCCAGTGATCTTTTGGGCTTGATATGTGCAACCACATTGTTGCTATTATCTTATCAAATCCCAAAAGATCTCTCGAAATTGCTTACATTTGATATAACTAACCGAGGAAAAAAGACGGTTAGAGCAGGTATCCAAGCAGCTGGAATCCATGCGGGAGAAGCTAGAGCTCAGGCCGGCGCATTGGCAGTCCTCTATTGATGGAGAGAAAACTATAAGCACTCCAAGTGAAACTCAGGCAGATACACTCGCGCCTATATTTCCAGTTTTAGATAGTTCTCTTCTTCCAGCGAGGGTAGCAGATGTTGATATTGCACTTGAGTGGATGATAGAACTTTTTCATGAGTAATTATGCCCCGTTTGTGCATGGTCCATGGGGAACTATAATTAATCTTGGTTTATAGATACCATGCAAACTATCATCCGCACTTACCTATAATCAACCCCACGATCCCAATAGAGACGATATACACCGAGTCTCCTCTCCTCTTCAAAACGATTCTCTTCATCGTAACCCGGCACAATGCCCATTCAATGTCTAGGGATTTCCACAAACAGCTTGTAGATCCGATACGAAAATCCATTGCTGATTTATCAATAAACCCAAATAATTCGGCTCTCGATATGGGTATCCAAGCTCTCCTTCTCCTTGGTTCATGGCCACTCCCATTCGGCAAGCAGAGTGACGATGGAAGCTGGCTATATTGTGGTATTGCCACACATCTTGCTATGCAGAATGGGTTCCACAGGCCCGGCTTTGCCCAAGAGTTCCGGGAGAAATGTTTCTCTCGAGATGATCTAAAAGTTAGAACCGTGAGCTGGATAGCCTGTTTCCTTATCAATTTCTCGTACGTGCCCCTCAAAAGGTTCGCCAAAAATATGTAAACTCTCGACACATACTCACATCCATAGACTCTCTCTCAAGCTTGGCGTACCCTGTACAATCACTCCGGACTTCACGATTCGAAATCCATCCGTCGAGCTGCCTCCAAAGCTGAAGCACCATCTAATGATTGCCACCGCCTGCTCTAATTTCATTCCAGCACTTTCCAATAACCCCTTCAGTGCCACGGGTCTCATTGAGCCCTCCTCCCGCTGGTCCCTTGTGCAGCTTTTTGACAGCGAGCTTGAAGCTCTCCTCACCTCAAACCCTTCATTCCCTGAGAGCGAGATCCTTCTGCTTACAAATCGACTGCACATCCAGACTTTTGTCATGCATGAGGATATCCAATCTACCGTAGGGTCTTTGGAGACCTCAGGCGTAATGATCAAAGCTTTCCGCACTGCTGTAAAGCTTATCACAGTCATTTCCAGTGAGCGTAAGAAGGGAGTCTTACAATATTACCCAACCTATATCAATCGCTCGCTGGTGTTCGCGTCCTTGTGGCTGCTGAAATTAATAGCATTCTCACATACTCGCGAGCCGTCACCACTACTGGATACGCAGGCGATCGAGACCGCGGAGAACCACATAAGGGAAGCGTTCACGCTACTAGAGGGATTCTCGGTGGTGGATGAAGATGAATCAATGAGAGCTGCAAAATTTGTAGAGATAATTGGGGGGGGTGGAAAGAGTGCTAACGGGTGGTGGGGGAAGTCGGTGAGGATGAGGAGCCGCATGGGGTCCGGCCTGTATTATGACGCCATCTGGGAAAAGAAGGAGATTGAGAGAGCGGAGTTGAAGTCAGTTGGTACGGCAGAGGGTGAACATGGAAATGGTAGTGGTAGTCGTGATGGTGATGGTGAGAATGGTGAGAATACTAGTGCTAGCACTGGCCGATCACCTTTCTGCAACTTCAACATCAGTACTGACAATGAGGCTGCAGAGGTACAAAACAACAGAGATATTCCGACGGTGGAGGTACATCCACCTGAAGGAGCAACGTGGAATTGGGCAGACTTGGATGCGGTGCCAATTGATCAAAGCTTTTGGGGTATGCTTGGTGATCGTGATGGATTTGTGTCGTGGGATAACCCATGGGATATCTTTGGTTTAAATCCTCCACCGATAGAAAGCTGAGAGGGAATATGAAGAGAAAAGGTCTTTGGGATGTACATACATAGAATAAATACCACCAGCTTAGCAAATTTGTGGTTGTATAATACAGCAGGCGTACGTACAGCTGTGTTCTTTGTGGTGGGTGCATGCGATTCTCTCGGTGGGACAGCCGAAGAAGAACCAACATAACCTTAGCGGTCTGTGTATCCAACGCCTAAGCTGGCTGACAGTGCGGATATAAAACCCCGTGTGCGCTGGATCAATATAATCACAGTCTATCACTCGTTAAAATGCAAAAAGTGATAATCTCAATTTGCAATTGCAGACAAATCAAAACAACTCCAAAACGATAGGTACAAACAAGCGTTGAGATTTAGATGGCGTCGATACAAATTTACAGCGGTACAATCGCGTGGCGTGGTGTCAAGATGGTCTTCTATTCGGAAGCCACGCTAGAAACCTCCACTTCTATACACATCTCTACACTTACTATGCAGTCGAATAGACACCAATGTTTATCCTGCATGGACAAAGTGCAAGCTCAAGATAACAAACCAAAAACAAACTCTTATTTTTATGCAGCAGAAATCAATTTCTGTGATATATATAGTACTGCGACCCGACCGCCCACAAAGACCGAAAGAAAAGAAACATACAGGAACGCCGATTCCTCCCTCTACTCTAATCCCGATAGACCCATGGTCTCTAGTCCAAGATCGCCTCGACCTTCTTCTCCGCCCTCTCAACCGCCGACGGGTCCGCACCCTGCTGGTTCAAGAAACTCAGGTACGAGTTCCACCCTACACGCACCATTAGCACCACTTCCCGCCCGGACAGCAAAAACAGAAAAAGCACATACCCAACGAGATGAAGTTGACCACCAACAACCGATGATTCAACGGCACCAACTTAAAGTTGACCAACTGCACCGCCGGCCACACCATCCAGTTCGTCTTCAGCCCCGTCCAGTAGTTCGCGTCCAACTTCTCCGCCGGGCTGCCGCCCTCCAGCACCGACAGCGTCGAGAAGAAGAACAGCATGTTCAGCGGCGTGAAGATGAGCTGGTCGCACGCGACGCGTGCCACAATCTCGGCGTTCGGCTTGCCGGGGAACTTGATTGAGCGCTCGAGGAAGCGGTACCAGTGCACGACCATGGGGCCGAAGATGACTATGTGTGCGGTGCGCGGTTAGTGGTGCGGAGGGGAGGGGAGGGGAGGGGAGGGGAGGGAGGGAGGGGGAGGTATACTGCCGCCGTAGCCACCCATGCGCGCGGTGCGCATGATGTCGTGGTTGTCGAGGCCTTTGCGCTCAACGACTTGTTGGGCGATTATGTCGCCGGTGCCGAAGAGGACCTGAGGGTTTGGAGAGTCAATTGTGCATTCTGAGGGAGTGAGGGGCGGATTGGATTGGCTTACACCGGTGGTGATGCATTGAGTGAGCAATGGCCGGGCTGCCAGGCGAGCTTGATACCTATTCCCACAACCCCATTAACTCCCACTATTCTCACGGAGCGGGGTGCGCTGAGCAGCAAACCTACCAACGAAGCATTGTGACAAACTTTCCTTGAAAAAAGAGTATCAAAGAGAAGGAATGTGTGTAGTGGAGGAGACGAAGAAGTAACAGCCCGGTGGTTGTGAAAATTCTCAGCAGAACAGCTCCCTTTTGTTGCTTAGCAGACTCGCAGCGGTGCCGGTGGTGGGGTTTGAACTTTGCGGGTCGGCGAGGGGTTGCGCAGGCTAATTGCAACCGATCCCTGCGCATCGCCTGCAGGGTCCGGCGCCGCCCGTGACGTCAGGGGGGATGCGCTGCCCAATGCGGAAGTCTTTCCAGGAAAAGGTGCTCCAGCGATCATTGGCTTTTGGGGTCGTTGCTGTGGCGGGGCGAGTGATGGGGCGTGACGATCGGTGGTGTGACGGGGCGAACGCTCCTCTTGCTTCAGGCGTCGCTAGAATAGGTAGTTGTTATCACCCGTGTGTAAGCAAAGACTGCGAGAGTTGTGTTGAGACGCCCATAGTTGGTCATAGGCTTTGTGAGCATGCACCCTGGCTGGCATGGGCATCAAGGGTTAGCAGCAATACTTTCTCTATAGCTACATGTAGTCAATTGATCAATCAAGGGTGGAAATTATGGTCATTGCATTAAGTTGTAGCGAGACAATCACAATGCGCCTAGTGGCTCTAGTCGTGCGTGAAGTTGTTTAATTACTTTAACAAGTATTTATTTTCTCCTGTCTCCACTTCTAGTAACATTCCTACACCACCCCGGCCGCAGAACTGAAGCTACACAAGCGACTAGCGCTATATACATTCATGAAGTATCACTCGACATGGAAAGTACTCCATTTGATCACCTTGGAAGAATAAGGGGAAGCGAGAGTAAGTAAAGTAAGAAGCGGGTGAAGAGCAAGGGAGCTGCGATACAAGAAAAGGCGTAAAGCCACTCAATCCGGGACCCCTGGCCACCCTTCCCGGCGCGCGGCAATCTCTCTAAAGAAGCTATATATGTCATGTAGCTATATTATCCACGATAAACTCCACTTTCCATGGGAGAGAACAAAATCCCCAACCACGTTCGTAACTTAAGAACCTCTTCTCTAAAGTATGAGGTGGGTAGGCTACCACATCCTCCCCTAGGCTCACTAGGTCGGGGCCAGACATTGTTGAATCATATAATATCACTCGAGAGTGACTACTGTCACGACACACGTGCCACACGCTCAACTCCGACGGAAAACATTAAGAATGTTCATTTTTCAGTCGGTCATGATCTGCATGGAATCACCTCCCCAAGCGTGGTGCGGAATGATTATCTCTAATATGGTTACGACGCAGCGAGATCCTAGTTAGTATAGCAATTCATCCTCTTTGTTGGATACCCGAATTCTTCATGCATGGTTCATCCAATAGTATCACCTAGCATGCGGATATGTTTAAGATACTATATCCCAGCGGCGCTGGCTGACATAAAACATTTGTATATGGGTGCGTCTCACGTTGTGCGAGCACACATTCTTTAATTCATTTGCCTATAAAAGTAGACGTCTGAACGCCTCTAACGTTAGATCGACACAGATCTAGAGATTCTTGACCGGTCCTTCACCCAGCCCTCCCCCCGCATGTTCTCCTGCAGCCCCACTATCCCCACTACCTTCACCGGCACCCCCCTTCTTCAGCGGCTTAAAACACAGCTTCGTCTGCTTCAACCCATTGTCCGGCGCAGTAATCTGCCTACTAAACCTCCTTTCCCCCGGCAACGCCTTCCTCAACTCGCACCCCCCAAGCCTCAACGTCTCCTCCGCGAGAGCAACACGAGGGTCGAAAGCAGTCTTACGCCTACGTCCATCAAACTCCTCTTCCTTCGCAATACTAATGAGGTTTTTAATGTCCGATAGTGCGGCTTCGACTGTCTGCTCGTCTTTAAACCAGGTGGCGGCATCTCTATTGAAGGCAACGTAGGACTTGGAAGTGTCTCCTATTATCTGGTTAGCTATTGTGGTATTTGGAAGAGGGGTGGAGCGGGCCTGTACGTTCTTGGAGGGAGATTGGGGTGGTGAGTAGGGGTGGCATTGTGGTATCGATTAATTGAGTGATTGATGTTCTCGTTGTAGCAAAACGGGCGTGATTCGTGTTTTACTGCTGCTTTGCACACTGCTGCTGTCAGTAAGTATGGTTGGATGGTCATTCTACATTTCATGCTGATGCCAGCGGCGGAGGTAATGTGCAGTGGTCAAAGGAGAGGATGGGTATGAACCTATTGTTAGTACTAATGCCTGGAGAATGAGAGGGGCAGGAGAGGGGGGTGAATCGTTGTTTAAATAGCAATGACGGTGGTATTAGTAGATGATTTTGGTAGGTGATGTTGGTAGGTGATGTTGGTAGATGATGTTGGTAGGTGATGTTGGTAGGTGATGTTGGTAGGTGATGCTCAGATGGCAGCGCACACCGGCTGTCTCTCGGTCTCATGCTTTCGGCCAGGTTACCTTCCAGTGAATGTGTCTCTCCACCGGTATGGGTGCGTGGGCCTCAGAGCGACTGCACATGCGAGAATCTTTGAGAACTACAACACCTGGAATGCTCTACTTCGGACGTGAGCAAACACTACAGATGAGCCCCATCCCCGTTTTGAAGGCCACTTCATAGAGTAACAGCGACTAGAGATGGTACTAGCTCGACCTGTGGATCTTTGGACCTTGAGACTACATGTAGTGGCCGCCGGGCGTTTATTAGTGTTAGGCACAAGCCGAGCTGGCTCGAGCATTGGGTTCGAGCTTTAGGCTCGAATACTTTGAGCTCTCATTTTTACGAGCTCAAGCCAACTCGAGCTAATATTGGCAAAGCTGGATAATAAATATATCGAAGATAGATTCTCTCAATTCGTCCCTAGAAATGAAAAGGTATATCAAGATGACTATTTTCAGTTATATTAATCAGAGCTCGAGCTAGCCTAAGTCATTCATTCTTTGCTACTGCTACTAGAGCTTATTATCTCCCCCAGCAGGCAGACCTTCAAGCTCTGTTAGCATAGTGGTCTATGCACCCTGATTTAGGAAACTTATGACGACAGCAGGGAGATCTTGGGTTCGAATCCCTGACGGAGCCAATTCAATATTTTTTTCCTTTCTTTCTTATTTATAGATTCTAGAAATGAAAAAGGTATATGGAAATTACTATTTTCAGCTATACTAATAGGAAGTCGAGCCATGCTCCCGAGCTCGAACATCCCGAGCCCCCCTTTCCACAATCTGAGCCACCTCGAGCTCTATGTCAGGCTCGTCTCGAACAGGCTCGTGCCCAACACTAGCGTTTATGCTCCTTGGTTTAAGATAACCATAGGTACATCTATCTATGATGCTAGAAGCTAGTCGAAGGAGACGATGAAGCCACAGCCAGCGGAATGACGACTTGAATACGCGCGGGGAAACGCTGCATGCAGAAATGGGACAATGCCGGCGACAAAAATCGCTGAAAAGAGACAGACATCAGGGTTTTGCATCGCAAGAACACAATGGACACTATGAAGGAAAAGGATATGGCCAGACGATAGATATGCATCGCGACCTACATGCGCCTAAGCCACCTCGAGTGTTTCCATTCCCCACGCCTCCCAGTGGATTCTCATGCGTCATAGGAAATCACTCATGAGTGAATGCTTGGCTGGGCGTGAGTGCCATCTCAATAGTCAAAACCTTTTAAGAGACTATCAAGACTGCCAGTCTGGCGATTGTTGCCGCTTTTATCTTCAAAGTCTCTAAAGGACTGTGCGGAGAGGCTAATCAACCTTCACTAACGCAGGAGGATATGTTTTATTTACTAGTCCCGCCCTGTACGTACACGGCGATAAAAGCGCTATGCACCAAAGAAAGAAGTTACGGGCGCAAGCAACCGGAGAAAGGTTTACTAATACATACACAAGCAAAAAAACACGAGGAGAAGTCGCCGTGAGGACTAAACGCTCGTGTTGAGATTTGAGTTCATAGCGTGTCACTCGAGCTCTGGTTATCCAGTCCAATGCATGTAACGTTCGGAGATACGAGATACTAATAGAGTAGATTCAAGTAGTACATGCAGTTTGCAGTCCCCTTACATTAACTATACCTGCAGTGTCACCCCCGCAGAACCTAAGACCCCATGCGAAACGCCTTACTCGACCTCGGGTTCAGACGACACCAGATAACGTTGCAATTGGAAACGTCAAAATCCCCTCAAACTCAAGGTTTAGGGATGGCTCTCGTGATGTTAAAAGTCACATCGCAGGATTGAAGCTAGGTCTACGAACGGTTTTTGCGCTGCACTGAATGCAATGTCGGAATATCCGTTGTCGATTCAGAATTCTCTCCCCTTCACGAACCATAAAATTATCTGCACAATGGCATTATGAAAAGAACTGTAGCCCTCTCCACCACGGCAAATCCAAATTCCTGTCATAAACCGGACCGGCGCTGCATGGGGCCCGATTCTAAATAATCTCGATCATGGCAGAGATTGGCATAGTAGCGCTTTTTCCAATCGAGTAATGACAGGCCGTCACACAAGATTAATGATAATAGCGATTGCTGTTCAGATCAACAACGGTTTTTCTCGGGGATTTTGAAGACCCCTCCGGAATACCCTGAGTTTACTCCCCATGGCTGAACACCGACCACGGGTCCCGCTCCCGGGTTCATCTTGTCGGCACAAAGCCGACCTGGCCTAGCCAGCCAGCTGTCAAGCTCATTCCGAGCACTAGCAATTCGTCCTAGTTGCGCTCTGTTTCAGATCTATATTCTTTTCTACCATTTTTTCTCTCTTTCTTTTCTTCATGCCCCCCCTTCGTTACGGATATAGCAGACCGGCGGATGGGTAATTCTCACAGGATCGCCGGTTAGGTTCTGGGTCGCAAAAGTGTCGATATGAGGGTCCGTTTCGGATATCCGGCTGAATTGGTATATATCTGGATGGGCCGGACATCTCTACTTAAGACCCGGGAGAAATAGCTATGGGCGGCGGGCCATGCCATGCCAACAGGCAGGTAGGCGAGCAGGCACCTTATCATAATACCGGGCAGGGCACGCGAGCAGTTTGTCAACTCATTTTTCCCCCCCCCATTTTTATTTTTTTGCGGTGGGAAACTACAGTTTCCGGTAGAATTATTGCGAAAGTGGGTTCCCCGTGACCCGATAGTCCTATTGGCTTTTCAAAGATTTTTGCTACGAGCACAGACCAACAAAATCCACTCTTTTAGCTCTGACTTTCGCAATAATTCTACCGGAAACTGTAGAAGGGCTTGATCGGCCGGGAATCGCCTATAGAGCAAAACTGGCTCTTCCAAATCGGACGGAATTGACGATGTCGAGTCCGTTCGAGTGACCAAATGTGAAGTGTATGAAGTGCATCAACTGTATGAACTGAAGAACCTGAAGAGAAAAAAAAAGGCCGATAGACGAAAGATTCAGACCTGGTGCGATTACACGTTTACGGCGCTCGATAGGCGCCAAGAGGCTGCAGTGCATCGGGCCGCATATCGGCCATCCTTGCTTGTGAGCGAGAGAGAAGGGCCAGCCGACCAGTCGCAATCGATGAGTGAGATGTGAATGAATGTGAGAGGTGAGAGGTGAGGTAGAGAAGGAAGATCAAGCAGCATCAGTAGCAGAAAGAAGCAAGTGTGGGCGTGCCCGTCTGCCCCATCTGCTGTCCGTCTTTCCCTTCTCCTCCTCCTCCGCCATTCACTTCACTCCTCTTCTTTCTTTTCCCACTCCTCATCTTCCTCCTCCTTCTCCGAGTGAGAATTTTTCCCGTGTGAAGTTACACACTGTGTTTTTGTTGGAGCACCTCAATTCCGCTGTTCTGTTCTCGCCTGTTACTTGAAGGAGAGACGGGAATCACTCACTCACTCACTCTCTCACTCTCTTACCTGTCGTTGTTGTTGCTGCTCCTCTTCCTCTCCTCCACTGACCTCACTTACCTCTCTCTCCACCTACACCTAATCTGATCTCTGCAACGCCCACACCCCCCAATAACAACAAAAGACCTCATCTCGTGCACAACCCTAGAGACCGCCCATCATGAAGTATGTTCCGTTCTGTTCTGCTGCCCACGAGCCCTTAATTCGCGTCTCGAGCAGATGCCACGCGAATTGATCCTTGCTCCAGAGACAATGTGCTGATGCGTAGATTTCCCACCACCGTAGATTCGGCCAGCAGCTCCGCACGTCGCTGATCAAAGGTACTATTCATTACAATCTCCCCCACATTCCCACTCTCGTGATAAAAAAAAAGAAACCACACAATTCCATGAAAAAATTTGCTCAACGGCCCGAATCTAGATTACAGCCACCAGTACATCGCCTACGACGACCTCAAGTCACAGCTGAAATCGCGTCTGTACCCCGCCGGCACGGACCCTGCCACCACCACGCCCACGCAATGGACCGAGGAGGACGAGAAGGTGTTTGTGCAGGCCCTCGAGGTCGAGCTCGACCGGGTCTTCAACTTCCAGAAGCTGCGCTCCAGCGACATTGTCCGCCGCATCAAGGTGTCTGAGAAGGAAGTTGAGGACGTGGTCAAGAAACTAGACTCGCGCCCGCCGGCGAGGCGCCAGAATGCGGCGCCCGGTGCGCAGGGCGAGGATGGGGACGAGGCGTCAGGCCCCACGGAGGAGGACTTCGAGATGCTGGAGGCGGACCTGAGTGATATCATTGCGGATGTGCATGATCTGGCAAAGTTTACGCAGCTGAACTATACGGGGTTCCAGAAGATTATTAAGAAGCATGATGTGAGTTTTTTTTTTTTTTTTGCGCAATTGGGTGTTTTGAGGGGGCAATGGCTAATTACCGCGGCGGGTAGAAACAAACGGGATGGATGCTGAGACCGATCTTCTCGGCTCGTCTGAATGCGAAGCCGTTTTTCAAGGACAACTACGATGCGTTTATTGTCAAGCTCTCAAAGTTGTATGACCTGGTCAGGACGAGAGGAAGCCCGACGCAGGGTGACAGCAGCGCTGGTGGGTCGCAGCAGAACTTTATCAGGCAGACTACAAAGTACTGGGTGCACCCGGATAATATCACAGAGTTGAAATTGATCATTCTGAAGGTATGGAGAGCTTCTGCTATATGCCGCGCCCCCAAGCTCAATAGCTGCTAACCAGTTTTTTTTGATTACAGCATCTTCCTGTGCTCGTTTTCAACCCAAACAAAGAGTTCGAGACACAAGACTCCGCAATCTCTTCAATTTACTACGACAACAGCGACTTCGACCTCTACACTGGCCGTCTCCGCAAAGATGAAGGTGCCGAAGCCGTCCGTCTCCGTTGGTATGGTGGGATGGACGTCTCCACAATCTTCGTTGAGCGCAAAACCCATCGTGAGGACTGGACCGGTGAGAAGTCAGTCAAGGCCCGTTTCTCGCTGAAGGAGAAGAACGTCAACGCGTTCCTCAACGGCGAGTACACTGTCGGTCAAGCATTCGAGAAGATGCGCAAGGAGGGCAAGAAGAGCGTCAAGGAAATCGAGCAATTGGAGGCGCTCGCAAGAGAGGTCCAGTACACAACCATCACCAAGCGCCTTCAGCCCGCTGTCAGGTCGTTCTACAACCGTACTGCCTTCCAGCTTCCTGGTGATGCTAGAGTCCGTATCTCGCTCGATACCGAGCTCTCCTTGATCCGTGAGGACAACTGGGACGGCACCATCCGTTCCGGCAAGAACTGGCGTCGTATGGACATCGGAATCGACTGGCCTTTCAAGCAGCTCCCCGAGAAAGACATTGAGCGCTTCCCATACGCGATTCTCGAAGTCAAGCTCCAGACCCAAGCCGGCCAGGAGCCACCAGAGTGGGTCCGTGAATTGGTTGCCTCCCATCTCGTAGAGGCGGTACCCAAGTTCTCAAAGTTCATTCACGGATCTGCGACGCTGTTCCCGGATAAGATCAATCTCCTGCCCTTCTGGATCCCCCAGATGCACATCGATATCCGCAAGCCCCCCATCCACAGATACGGAATTGAGAGGCCAAGCCACAGCGCTAGTATCTCTACCTCTGACGATCCATTCGATTCCGACGAGGACGAGGATCTCAGCGACCAGGACACGAACATTCAGAGGCTCAGGTCTGCCGAGCGCGCCATTGAGTACGCTGATCGCGTTGAGAGGACGCACAATGGCGGGGGTGCCCGCGGAGAGCTTGATGAGGAGGAGCGTGCGGCGGATGAAGAGCCAAGAGACGAGTACCAGCTTTATGACAGCGAGGATGAAGATTCCTACGATGAGGCCAATGAGAGGAGAAACGGGAGACGGAACAAGCCGCTTAAGAGCGTCGTTATGGACGGACTCTTCCAGGCTGGTAATGTGCTGAAGAGCCTTGTTCCTAAGCCTAGGAGCACAGAGGTAGATACTCTGAATCCTCAGGCGCCGGTCCAGGGCATGGTCTATGCCCGCAAGTTTAAGGCACCTCCAGGCAAACGTAAGTCATCCTTTGTTCTTTCCCTGGTCTTGATATATAACTAACAAATAACAGGTATTTTCGTCCCCGTCCGTGTTGAGCCCAAGGTTTACTTCGCCGCCGAGCGAACCTTCCTCTCCTGGTTCGAATTCTCCATCTACCTCGGTGCCATCGCCGGAACCCTTCTCAACTTCGGAGACCGCCTCTCGCTGTATTCTGCATGGGGGTTCACAGCGGTCGCTGTCGTGGCACTGCTGTACAGTATGGGACTGTATCTGTGGCGTGTGGATAAGATCTCGAAGAGGAGAGCCGTCAGGTACCACGACAAGTATGGGCCGACGGGGCTTTGCCTCTTGTTGTTTATTGCCGTGGCGTTGAATTTTTACTTCCGATATGGCGAGCTGAAGAAGTAGGACTAATGTTGTCGATGACTGGATTTGGATGATGGATGGTTGGTATGATTAGGGGTTGTAACATCAGTGTCGGTATTTTTTCTGCAGTGTTTGTTTGGGTGCTATGTCTTGTATGGTGTCTCTGTATCATGATGGGTGTGCTGTGCGCTGCTGCGTTCTTTTCTTTTACTTTACTATGTTTTTTTTGATTCCTTATTGCGTTGTTTGAGCTTGGAGAGAGAGATTAATTCGCAAATTTTGCTTTGTCCCGTTCGCTTCAATGTATAAATAGGTACTGCTTGAACACTTGATCTGATTGCTTGCATTGCTTATTTTGCTGATTGACTTCTACAACCCATTATCTCTGTATCTATTCTGCCCCCCAGCTGTTTATGTTTGTTTGTGTCCGTTATATGTACGAAAACCTTAACGAAACCCAGCTAGTATACTCTTACAATCACAATTCATACTCTCACCAATTCCAACTCAAAAAGAAAGAAGAAGAAAAAACCTAACCATTCGCCCATGGCCAGCTCTACTCTTTCTATTTCTAGCCCGGACCGCATGTACTCCAACACACCTCCATCCCCACCCTACAAATAGATGCCCAACTCCTCCCTCGCAAACCCCTCCACCAGCTCCTTCCTGCTCAACATCTCCCCCCTCTTCCCCTCCGCAACACCCTTCGCCGCCAGCCACGCATCGTACTTTCCCGCCACCTCCTTCAGCAGCGCCGCACTCTGCAGGTGCTGGTCCTCGTAGTCAATCTCGGCCACCACCACGTCCTCCACCTGCTTGCCCTCCTCGGGGGTAGTGACGTTGGAATCCTTCCCCTTGGGGAACTCGGGCCAGCTGGGCTTCATGGTGAGGTTTGTGGGTTAGGGTTTTTGATATGGCGGTGGTAGTGAGGTAGGGCTTGTTTGTGTATGCGAGGGAGACCGATTGGTTCGTGGAGGTGGAATCGGAGTGGTTGATGGTAATGATTTTAGGTTGGGTTTGGCTTTGGCCTTTGGCTCTAAGGGGTAGCTTGGTGAAGGTAAGTGAGGGTCCCGATGGGGACTAGCGTGGGTTAGTGGTTGGGTATTGGCGTTGGATATTGTCGGGTTTGCGGTTTGATATATCTGAGGGAGGGGACGAGAGAGAGAGGAATGGGTGCTGACTATATATATCTATATATACAGCGGATTGGTAGTTTAGGGTCGATGTGTGTGGTAGCCGCGCCTGGTCAGAAAGAACAATGGAGTTGGTGAGATTGGGAGAGCAGGTACTGTGCTCCGCCGACGAATATGCCTAGGAAGATGAGACCGCTGCCAAGCAGAATTGGATTGTTGAAGTACATGCACCTACCTACAAGGGTGTAGTTACAGGTGGAAAGCAATGTTTTGAGGAGGTAATCCACGCTAGGATTAGCAGGCCAGGGCTCTGTAGCCCACGCTATTAGTTAGGGAGTGCACAGGCACAAGGATAAAAAAGGGGTTTTAGCGAGAGATTGAACCTAGTATTCATAGGCCTGGGTGCTCTGCTGCTTCTGCAATGACTATATATAGCAAAGGGACTTAATCCTCCGGTTTTGGCATTGTTTTCCTCCCTATTTTGTTGAGCTTCTCGAGAAGAAATCATATTTATGACTATTTAATAGTTCCTAGGAGATAAAAATGACAAAAAAGGGGTTTTATGTCACGTAGTGTGGCCACGGTATCGTTGGTTATGAAGATCTTCCTGAATCATGAAATATCACTCGTCTACAATCTCTCCCTGCTGACCACTAGATGACATTGCGACCAAGCATGCTATGAGAGCTTAGTAACTGACAGTATTCCACTACGATCTTCAATCTATCAGTAGCTAGGCTTCGGAATCTAAGTACTGATCGACAAGTACTGATCGACTGTGCTTTCCGTCACTATCCCCTCGACAACATCAACATTCTCGCGTCAACTTTTCATAAGGTGCCATAAACGTGACCTTAAATCCCAGGTCTTTTGTAGTTTATAGTATACAGCCCAAGACGACAAGCGATACTATTGGATGATTAAATTACATGAAGTTACACTCAGACTTTCGTCCCATTTACCACAGGCGCTTGTGTGAGAGGTCAATTACAATCATTAAATTCCGGACTACATAAGCATCTACTATATTATAAAAGAAAAAGTTTCGCTAAGCCATAACCCTACATCCGGCCCTGGCCATGGTGGGGGCGGGGAGAGGGGGGAGGCCAAATCATGAGCGAGAACCTAGTTCAAGCTGCGATTACGGGGCCAGAGATCTAATCGATATCACACCTAACCCACGAGGAGGGTCCAATAGGCTCTAGAAAATGGCAATGAGTTTAAAAACACAATTGTCAGAGGCCCGGAAGTAATACTTAAGGGGGGTGAGGGTAAAGCGAGCTAGGAGACCTAACCCTGCCATGACAATCTACCACGACGTACATCAAGGCCCACTGGCCACCCTCTTGTTCGCTATACTTGTTTCTCACTTGTAACTATTAAACTAGTCACGTGCGCCCCGGGGAGTCGTTTCATATCCAATCGTTTATTCAGTATAATTCAGGAGAGTAGAATATCTTTAAGTACAAATAATGGTTTATATTACAGTTGAAGAATTTTTATATACAAAGGGCTTAGACGATTATTCAGACGTCCTGGATGTTTTCTTCTACATCCCTTGCGATGGCTTCGTCGACTTCATTTTCTTCCTCCTGAATGTCTTCCGCGATCTCTTCCTCTTCCTCAGGGCTGAACACTTGCGGCCGTGGCCTTGGGTTGTTAAGTCCCAATATCGCGCCTGCAAGACCGAAAGCGTTCTTTCCACTTTCTCCCTTCATCCTCTCTATTATTTCCAGTTCCTCCGCTTCTCTTGCCTTCCTCGTCTCCTCGTCTTCTTCCTCCTCTTCTTCATCTTCCTCCTCTTCATCATCTTCCTCCTGACCATCGTCATCAACGATTATATACTCCTTGACTTCACCCTCCTCGCCCACGTCCTCACCTGCCGCCTGATATTGTGACCCTGTCTGCAGCATCCACACACAATACCCTACAAATGTCGCCACACCACCGGCGACCGTTAACACGCTTTTAATCCTCTGTCTTCTTGCGGCAGCTTGTGCTTTCCTTTTCCTCTCCAGATCCATCGGATCCATATTCTCCTCCTCCTCTTTAATCCTCTGCTTCCTCAACTCGTTACTCCTTCCCCAGCCCATTGCGTCCAAAGCCTTCTCTACCAAGAACATTGACATCCATGGTAGATCACCCCTCTCCGCCACGCCCCATGGCAGCATAGACGCAACCCGCTCGCCGCCGTGCGTATACGCCAATAGCGACTTCGCATCCACAAACTCACCTACCAGCTGCGGTTTCAGGTCATTAAGGTAGCCACACATCCTAGGGAAGCGCTTCTTCATCTCGTTTGCCAACCACGGCTGTGGCAGCTCAGGGTAGAAGCATAGCGCCAGGTACCCAACCGCCAGGCAGTCCAGCGAGCTTGGGTAGTCGCCAAAGAAGTGCTTCTCGTTACCTAGACGCGCCTTCAATGGCTCTAGGAAGTCTGCCACAAGGTCCATCAGCTTGAATGTCACTGCCACTTCGGTGCTTGATAGTATCGACGTCGGCTTCTGTTCTGGAGGGGCGGTGGTGTGTGGTTCGCCAGCTTCGGGAGCTTTGGGGGTGGGCTCGACGGCGTCGATATCGAGCGCGGTGACTCCGAGGCCAGCTGTACGATCCTTTGCTTGTGAACGTAGGCGTACAGGCATATAGTATTGCATTGGGAAGGGTAAGAGGGTGGCGTATATTGAGCGTGTGCAAGAGTCAAAGTTTTTGCGGGAGACGTAGAGGGAGAGGTCTATGAGAGATTGGCCATGGGTCTCGAGAAAGGCTGAGAAGCTGTATTGAGGGTATTAGAACGGTTTTAGAAGAGATGAAAGAGGGTAGACTACGCTATGCATTCAGCTTTCTCGACAGGAGAGAGGAAGTTATCGAGGTCGGCCTGTCCATCGGTCTTCTTACGGAGATACTCAACGATACCGCGGAAGCCAGTTGCCCATGTTCTGTCGTCTCGCAGAGCTGGGAGTTCTCCTATATAAATGCTAACTATCAGAACCAGCTCTTCGGAGTACTCGTAGAAACAATCACGTACGGTTGGGCGACAACAAAGGATTACTAGAAGCTACAACCGTCCACTGGTCTTTTGAGAGCGTAAGGTTTAGATATGCGATTGCAGCTATACATTGCGCATCGATCGAAGGGAGGCCGAACGAAGGTCCCCAGATGTGTAGTTCCAGCATCGCGAGTTGATTGTGGGGTGATGGTCATGCAATGACGGAGGGGCCGGTTTCTTTTTTTTTTGACTGGCAGAGCCTCAACGCAAGATGGTGGGGGGTCTGGCTTGGCGACGATCATTAACAGGGTAGTTAAAGTTCTCTGTAAATGATCCAGCTGCGTAGTTTGAAGAGGTAGAGTATTTTCACAAAGTGCTCTATGACTTTGAGCGGAGACATGACCATGTTGAGTTAAAGGAACCGCAGGTAGTATATAGGTGTAGGCTCTTTAGCGCAAAGATGCTCCTAACTAATCCTCCTACTAAATATTTCTGATACCGCATTCGGGGCATATATATTTATATCGAGCACTTGCAATTTCTTGGGATCTGGTGGTAAGGAGATTTGTGCTATCGGTGTCGTTATTTGTTATTTATTTGTATGTCTGCGAGCGCATCACCTGAGGCTTGATTCACCTCTTTCGATTGGCGAGTAGCGTATCATTGACCCTCACTAGCTTGGGTTAACAACCACAAAGCCATGGGATATAGCAATTTCAATCATTAAGAAGAAAAACAGTCAGGGGTAGTAAATCAGAGTGGCAATTGTCCCGTGCAGCTTAGAAGGGCCGCGAGCAAGGTTACAGTGGGCGAGTGATAGCATATGATGTGGCTAGCTCTCACGTCTATTCACCCTCGCGAATAGGATGTATCCACGCACCGTAAGGAACCGAGCACCAAGGGATCAAGCCCAAGAGATACCTGGCATATAATGACCATGGAGAGAAATATGGGACACGGTAAGCCAATACCGTAGTATTTTATAATGTAAGATAATTAGATAATAAGGGTTAAATTCATACCACTACCACAACTACCTGGATCTGGATATGCTTAACTTCCTACCACCTAAAAGAACCCATCCCAGGTCAACAACACTGGACTCCATAACGGCTGTTCCCAATCATCCTCATCCCCACACATCGCTGTCTCACTGCCCTTCGCACTAATGGGGCCAAAGCACCCCGACCAATCCCTCATTTCCTCCCCCTCCTCGCCATTATTATACAACGCATTCCTTGCTTCTTCTACACTGCTATATCCGGTGATATGGGTAGGCTTTGTTGGAGACAGAAGCACAGTATCCCAACCGTTTTCGCTTGTATTTAGACGCTCGCATTCTTCTCTGTGTATATAGAGAAAAGGTATGACATCCATTTGAGCAGTAGTAGGAGAATAGGGTCGGGGAGGCGACAGTGTCCACTGGAAGTCGTCCTCTTCATCATCGGCATCATATTTTTCATTGACTTCGTGGCTGCTGTGGGTGATAAAGAGACTTCCTGGTGGAGTCAGGGCATATCTCTCTTGATCTTCGTCCTCACTCTCAGAGGATTCAGAATCGCTGTCAAGCTGCGTATGACCAATGGTAGGTGTCGAGGGGACAACGAACTCAAATGCGTCTAACGATGAAATTTCCTCATCATCATCCTCTTGGTCCTCATCCTCAGGGTTATCCCTCTTGTAATCGCACCTGTCTCCTGTTGCATTAACCTCTTCGGTACCCTCCTTTGTGGAGCATCTATGTCTATAATAAGCCCCCCATTTCTCCCAGCCCGAGTAGTCATATTCACTGACACACCTCGTACAAAACACATGTGAGCATCCCAGACATCTGTTTGACGCTGTGAAGCGGCGGCCGGCATGGCAGCGGTGGCAGCGCCAAACCCAGGGATAGGGTGTGGGTGGTGGATGAGCGGCCCGGGGAAGCTGGCAAGTGATGTGAGGAGGGGAGATAGTTAGTCTTTTGGTAGGGAGTGTGAGGCTGGTCATTCTGGTCATTTCGATATCTCTCCTCCTGCTAGTATGCAATTGAGAACAAGTATCCTTTTTCGCTCCTTTTTCCCTTCTTTCTTTGATGTCTGTTCTTTGGTATGGGCAATGGGCCTTGTCCAGCAAACCTCTTTTGGTATCCTCGATTCCTTCCTTTATTTTATTTTTGGGGGCTGGGAGTAGTAAATAATTGCTCAGGTTCAGCGGCGTGTTTGAATATTGGGACTAAGGAATATATCGATATCAATATCTTGAAAAGCAAAACCAGAAATGATTGTATTGTGGGGGAAAATGAGAGGTCCTGCCTCAATTATGGCCCTAAAGAAACGACACAAGTACCCGGTGCTGGAGGATAAGACGAACGGGACGGTACTTTATCGTGTAGCTGACAAGACCAGGAAAGAGAGAAAGGCAGAGAGATGAAAGAGAGCGAGAATATGTTCTCTTGAAGTACACGGTGAGAAACTGGCAAACAAAGAGCCTCTCATCGATGAAACATCTGCGTGTGACTTTCCTTGCAAAACGGTCATTTCTTTGTTTCCGGAATAGGAGAGATGGACAGACAGCCTGTGTTTCGATAACTGGCCAGTGAGCGTTGAGCAAGCTAGCTGCTAGCCGCAAATCTGTTCCTGACTATCGGTCATGCTTGTGGTTAGATCACAGGATGGAACATGTAGGCACTCTGCTCCCTTCCACTGCTGCTGTGCTCTGGACAGATGTACATACGGTCAGATCACAGTGTGCAGGATAATGCTCCCTGCAAATGTACTGCTCGATGACGCTGTCAGTGCCTGGGCAGAGAGCCACAGATGCGGAGACGAGATCTGGAGAAAGAGAGATAAGCGAGCAGGGATGGGAGTGGGATGGGGGGTTTTGTGGATGTGGATGTGGATGTGCTGCGCTGTTGGCTGTGTGGGGGAGGTCCGTTGAAAGTCAACATGATCAACCCCACAGACAGGGCGGAGAAGGGGAGTGATCAGGAGGGTACATTGTAGTGAAGAGTTCAACAAGCAGAACAAGCACGGAAGAAAAGAATTTAATATGCCCAGGCACATGTAGGTACATGTTTTGTAGAGAGGGAGTGTATTCTGTGTACTTGTACTCCGGTATGAAATTTACACTACATATACTAAACTGGGGGCTACACATAGACCGGGGGGGTCGCGGTTAGGGGGGTGGTGACTGTGAGCATCATGAGCAGCAACAGCAGCAGTGAGCCGAGTTGCTGTCTCGGATATGCGAGAAACGACAGAGAAACGAAGACGCCGGGGGGTCAAGTGAACGGGAAGAAGGACCACAAGTCGCCGGAAGAGAAGGGCAGAGAGGGAAATGTAACCGGTCTGAGAAAAGAAAGAAATCTCTTGAATTATGGCCTGTTCAGCGCTCCCAATTGCACAAGTTGTAGGGTCATGTTTGGTGAACTTCTTCTACCTGAGGCTGTCGGAGGTCCCGCGGTGCAGCGCATCAAAAGAGTCTCTCTTCTCACCCTCCCTCTCCTCCGCTTAGTCACGGATTGTTTGGCGAGGCGCCCTTGGGCGCAATCAGTGGATCAGTGGATCAGTGAGATGTAGGTTGTAGACAGGCTGCCAGTCACCCATACAATACTCAGGAATTTATGTGTTGAGTAGATGTAAGTACACGCACATAAAGTGGACGTGAGTGAGTTCTCGAGATATTACTGGACGTAAGATGTAAACGGGTGTGTGAGTGAGAAACTGTGTGTGAGAGAGTGCAGACTTTCTAATGCTGCTGCTGCTGCTGCTGCTGCTGCTTCCTGCTACTCTACCTACAGCCGTCGCCGCTGCCTACATACTGCTGCTCCCCTCCTCTCCCCAATCCCTCTCTCCTCCGACATCACCTCTCTGGACCCAACGAACCCCCCCCCCCCCCCCCCCACAAAGAGAGAGGAATCAGCCCCCCCTCTCCCCTCACATTAACCCTTCCCCCCACTATCATCACCATCGCGATAATCTACTCCATCTCATTAAATTCTTGTCCGTGTCTACTGCCCTCTGGCGCCATCGCTTCACGGTACCCGTTCGCTTATTACCCTTCTCATTTAACAATTCCGTATATCCTCCTCCTAACTCCGCACCCCCCCTTCTATCGCTCTCTTTACCTTAATATTTACAACTTCTCCAGCGAATTGTGCGCCCAGTTCTCGTCATCCCCCCTCTTCCGGAGGTCGTAGTTGATTCAACTACACCCCCTTCAACCCCGGATGACCGAACCTGATAAAATGGACGAATATAAAACGAAAATGCCTTACGGCTCTCGTTTTGGCTACAGAACTCCACCGCCGGAATTCGCGAAGTCTTACGTCGAGCCTCTATCACCTGTCCTCGGCCCTACAATGCCTCCCTCTTCTAGGAACGATGAGCCTCCTTCACAACAAGTACCAAACAATCTTCCGCCCCCCCCTCCGCCTCCTACAGCGTCTCTTTCTTCCGCCCCTCCTCCTCGACAATCACTATTTTCGTCGTTCGCCACGGCTTCGCGCTATAACATGGAAAACACTCCCGTGGATTACGATCCTATGCAGATGTTCGCAGACATTGCGCTCTCAACTGCTCCTCCAAGCTTTATAGCTTCACGGTCCCAGTCGGCTTCGCACGCGCCTACGGCAGCACCGCCCTCTAATTTGCGCTCTTCTTCAATTACCTCCTCGTCGAACACGAGCGGTGTTCTACCCGCAACATGGTCTGCCGACGGGTATCCGATGCGAAATGGGAGCTACAATACTGCTTATCCCCCGCAGAATGTCCACGCGATGAATAATGATAGCTTTCATACAGCGTATATTTTTGAGCGCCGAACATCCGCTACTCGCTTAGAGCCGCCGATGAAGTCGCCGGTGATGGTCAAGACCCCCGCACCCGGAGGCGATAGCTACCTTCATTCTGCCCCGCCACTCGGCCGGGCAGCTTCCCCGCGTTCTCAACAGCTATCATTCCCTCTGGTCACTGCGGGTTACAGGTCGGAACGTTCAAACAAGGGGCGGGCAAAGAAAGACGCGAAAGAAAATGCCACACCAAAAGATACGGGCACCGGAAAGGGTGCGGGGTCATCGCGTGAGGGCCGCGGATCGCGTAATACTTCTTCCCGTGGACGTGGCTCGGCTTCGAATCGTCAGAACTCTCGCAAGAGTCGTGCTCGTGCTTTGAGTCCTATTAAAGACATTGCCGAGACTGAGAAGCCCTCCCAGGCCAAGGCTCAGCTGGTAGAGAGCAAGATCTCGAATGTGATAACTGTCAATGGTGGGGTTCCTCAAACCTCCCCAATACGGCAGAACTGCTTGACAACGGCTGCAATTGAGTCGACGGATCCACCGAGTCCTTCGCCCGCATATTCACCCTTTCCTTCTCGTCCCAATTCGCCGGTTTATGAACCTCCAGAAGCAATCACACTCGATTCCGAAGATGTTATTCATGTCAAAGAACCATCTAGCGTTGCTATTACCGAACATGTTCCGGTGGTGAAAGAACCTGAGAATACACCCGATGCTCAGCTGGCTGCTGAAGACAGTGTAATGAAGGATCTGGAAGAGTCTATTGTAGTAGAAGCTCCAGTTGATAGAAACATCAGTGAGGTCCTTGATAAAGGTATAAAATTCCTCCCCATCTCCTGGGATTTTAGTATACAAATTATATTCACTTATTCAAAATTCAGAGTTGGCTTCCAAGTCCACAGAGGAGGAGAAGTCTATTTTTAGTAAACCATCACCTGATAGTGGTGCCATCGGTATGTTTGTTAACTTTCGATGCTATATGCTCACTTTTTACTTGTGAATTGAGTTAATACGTATTTCGCGGTACCAGAGCCAAGTCAAGAACAGATTGAGGCTTCTAAGCAGGAAATTTCCATATCTGAAGATGTAGAGATGCAACAAAATATTGCTGAAGGTAAACTAATTCAATTATCTCCACAATCTTCTAATCGCTTTTTACTAAAGTTATTTTTGCAGAGATGGAAATATCAACCCTCAATGATAAAATACCAGCCATTGAACCAATTGTAAACGACGCCATACCTAGCTCGATTTCTCCAAATGAAGAAGCCGTATCAACTGAAGAGATCGCCGAGAAGGCCAGTGTGGATATCCCTACCGTTGATATCCAGTCAATGAATACCGAGGTAGAAGAGGAGATTGAAGAAGAAGATTTTGTTATCAAAGAGAATGAAGATTTTGAATTCGCTCAAGCTGTAAGTGTTTCAAGAGGAAATTGATTGTCTGTTTTTAGTTTCACTAACACATTGGCGACTGCAGGTTGGTAACGAGCCAATTTTCGGTCTTGGCGACTCCTTGAATAATGGTCTTCCTGTGACTGCATTCGATTCTTCCCAAGAAGCTGAACTCGGTGGTTCCACTGCTGCCGGCCCTGGACCAATTCAGGAAGAGCTTAAGCAGCTTTCCATCCTATCACCATCTGGCGAGTTGTCTCGTGAACCAGGGGATCCTGATAACGAGATATGTGGAGAATGCGATACGAAGTATCGAGACTCATTTGGTTTTAGACTTGATCAAGTTGCCTGGATTGGGTGTGATGGTTGCGGGAAGTGGTATCATTCTCACTGCCTGAAATTAGACGACACAACAGTAAAGAGAATCGATAAGTTCTACTGTGCTCCCTGTGAGCCTAAGTATGGCAAATCTACAAGTAAGCCACACTCCTCAATTACTTTTGCTTTTGTACCTAATTTTGTGTTAGTGAAACGTACATCAACTCGTGCAACAACGGCGATTGATTATAACGCGCTCCATAACGGATCTTCTGCTCCAATCAAAAACCCTAATGACAGTAAACTCCACCCTTACGTGGCTATAATTCGTGATCGTACGCACACTTTCGCTGCCGATACACTCCCTCGACTACGGCCTGAACAAGTTACTGTTGAATTCATTGACGATATGCCAACCGGATGGAATCAGCCTTTTGTTGTTCCGGCAACCGAAAATCCTGCGCCCTGGATTGATTTTAGCGAGGACAATAAGCCGAAAAGTGAGCAGCCACTAATCGAGCAGTCCTCAAGTCAGCAGCCACCACGTGAGCAATCACGAAGTGAACAAGATTATCTCAATATGTCAATAACTCCCGAGCCTGGCTTCCCTGATGTTCCAGCTGAGAGCCATCCTGTGCAACTACCAGCGCCGCCAGCTCCTCCACGCTCTCCAATCGCGAACCAGGATCCAAGGGGTAGTAAGAAGGGCAAAGGGAACTCCCCAGAAATGACTCTTGAGAATGGCGACTTTGACCAGAAAGAAGTCAATCGTATTAAGAAGACTCTAGTCGAAGGCGAGTATGATGTCAAGGAACGCCGCGAGGGAGCCGACTGCCTCGACATGATCATTCCCAAGGGCCTGACTGTTCGCAAGGTTGGGGAACTTATTGGAGCACAGATGAGAGTTGAGATGATCAACGTTCTTCGCCAGTCTACTACAAGGGATGATAAGTGGAATATGGAGGAACTGGTCAGTTACTTCGAGAGTAAAGAACGTAATGATATCTACAACTGTATCAGTTGTGAGGTGACAAATACTCCACTCGGGGAGCAGATTTCACGGCCGGAGGTTGTCAGGAAGTTAGATCTTTCCGATAAAGTCTGGCGTCGATCAAATGATAGCGATGTGAAGCCGCATGTGGGGAAATATGTGTATGTCGCAATTCCTCGCTCCCATTACATTTGAAACTCATCTTACTAACATATTTTTATTAGTCTCATGTCCGTTGCAGATTCTTTTACCGATTTCCACATTGATTTTGCTGGTTCATCAGTGTTTTACCACATCTATGAAGGACAAAAGGTCTTCTTGGTCCTTCCGCCAACCGAAAAGAATCTAGAGATTTACGAGCAGTGGTCCATGAACCCCGATATGAACACAACTTTCTTCCCTCGTTTGTGTGACGATCCGTGCATGCTTGTCACGCTTAATAAGGGAGATACGATGTTCATCCCATCTGGGTGGATCCACGCTGTGTATACTCCAAAAGACAGTCTTGTCATCGGTGGCAACTTCCTCACTCGCAGCCATTACACTAAACAGATGGCCGTTCAAAAGATCGAGGTCGTGACCGATACCAAACTTAGCCAGCGCTACCCCAAATACACAACTCTTATGTGGCACACTTTGTATTATTATCTCACCAAAGATCCCATCCCCATGGAAATTGACAAGGCCCTCGCACATGGTCGTGTCCTCAGGCAAAAGGGGGCTCGGGCTCAGAAAGGAAGGCCAGTATATACTCGACAAGAGCTCGAAGGCCTTCCCGATCTCTGCAATTTCTTGCTTAGAACCGCTTTGATTTCTTGTGGCTCTATCAAGACTTCTCTCCGCCCCGGAAGACCAACTTTAACTGCCAGACAAGTCGACGCTGTCAAGCGTGCAATTCCCGCTCCTTGCAGCGACGATCCTTTGGAATGGATCAAGAGATTTGGTCGTTGGTGTATCTGGAAGCGTGTAGCACACAAGATTGAAGCAATCGGCGAGAGAGTTCCCGAGTGGGCACAAGGGAAATGGATCCCCGAGGAGACGGTGAAGAGAGGCCCAAGCAAAGCAGAATTAAAGAGACTTGAACGTTTAAAGATCGAGGAGGCCAGGAGGGCTGAAGCGCCAAGGCGAGAAGGTCTAAGGGTCCGAATGAGGGCTTCCACTACACCTGGAGATAGCGAGTCCAGCGGGGAAGCATCTACATCTAAATCACATGGAAACACCAAAACACCCAAGAAACTCAAGCGCAAGGGTGAAGCCGATATTGAGTCTTCAAACAAGAAGAGAGGTCGCCCAAACAAGACGCCCGCTAAGACACCCACCGGGTCCAAGAAAGCCACCACCGAAGACTCCGCCAAGAAACGCAAGACTAAAGGGAAATCTAGTCACACGGTCGAAGGGGGCGATGGAGAAGCGTTTACTCTTAAGGATGGCTCTATCTATGTTGCTAAGGAGTCAAACCTTGGACCAGCTAGGGCTGGCTGCCAAAACTGCCGGATGAAGAAAACCGGGTGCAAGCACAAAGCCGAAATTGCTGAGCTTGTCGCTTTGTTGGAAGCTAATGGAGGTGTTATGCCGACCACAGGCGACTCAGAGAAAGGCAAAAGTAAAGCAACGGTCAAGAATGAGGTTGAAGATGATGCTCCGCGTGAACCAGAGGAGGGGGTCCAGCCTGAAGCTGAAGATGAAGTCCTTCATGAGGCTGAAGATAGGGACCAGCGCGAGGATGAGGCAGAAGATGAAGGCGGCGATGAATCTGATGTTGAGGAGGAAATTGAAATGGGGAAAGACAAGGGAAAACTTCTGGACCCTTTGAAATCAAAACCAATCTCCGACAGGGTTACTCCTACGCCAGGCCCGGAAAACGAGGACGAAAATGATTTTGTACAAGAATCATCTGGTGTAGGCTCAAGCAATGGTCAAAAACGGGCTAGAACCGAAGGCGATGATCATGATATGGAACTCACCCCGCCTAAGAAAGCCAGGGGTTCCAAAGATTCTACTGGAGTTTCTGGCCGTCCTGCTGGATTCCAAGGAAGAAAGCCTTCTTGCGAGGAGTGCAAGGCTCTCAAGGTATGTCTAACACTAGCTTTGAGAAGATTAATTCTGACTTCTCCTAGACCAAATGCCATCATGATACTTGGCACCTCGCAAAGGTTAAGACTCCTAGCGCTAAGCCTTCAAGAAGTAGCGCCAGGAGAAACTCTACAATCATGCCTGCCAAGGTCACCACACCAGGCACTGCTAGTCGTGCGAGGAGGGATTCTACCATCAATTCTACAAACCTTGGTGTCCCTTCTGCTTCTAAACCTGCCAAGGTTTCCGCAAGAAGAAAGTCTGCGCCTGCTGCCTCGAGAAGGAAGTATGCTGTTGGATCTCGTGCATCCGATCCTTGGCGCTCACTGGGAGATGATTCTGGTCGCCCTTCTAACTTCCTGCCCGGCTCTCAAGGTATTCTCGTTCCACTTTTTCTATAGGAACAGGTTGCTAATCTGAAATAGGTGATGAGGCGATTGTTGATGATGAGCAGGAAGAGCTGGAAGATGTTATCGTGTGCAAAAAGCCAATGATGGTGACGTCGGCAGTCAAAGTTACCGCCTCCGCCATTGTTAAAAATGATACTCCACCTCCAGCGACTCCAACTCTCACTTCAGTCATCGTTGCCTCAGGACCTCCCTCCACCCCGGCCAAATCCATTCCTCCTGTCGCCATTTCTTCAACCAATACTTCGCCACTTACCGAGAACGAATTTGACTTGGACCTTTCCATTCTAGACGAACAGCTTCCGTATAAGTCGCGTTCCCGCAGTTCCAACACTCCAGACGATCCCACCATAATGGCGCCGCCTGTCGATTTTGATGACGAACCTGTTGCTGCGCCAGTAACTCCCACTCCTGCCGCTGTTACTATTGAGGTTACCCCGGCTGTCCCTACCGCCAATGCAACATCCAATGCTGTGCCAGCTAAGTACCCGAACCCAGCATATAGGGTTCATAAGCCTAAGGTCACCTATAACCGAAACAATAAGAACTACAAGAAAAAGGCAGATGAGGAGGAGGATGTCCTTATGGAAGGTACGGCGGACATAAATAGTCCTAAAGTTGTCAAGACCGGACCATCAATGTCCCCAGCAGCCGAGAAGAAGCCTAGCAGTGGCACTTCAGTCAACGGAAGTTCTGAGGTTGTTGAAGATGGTGATATCAGTGTAGAGGAGCTTAAGAGACTAGGAACTGCAGCGGATTTTGGGTTGAGGCGGAGGGCTGGATCATAACGGGCGGATAATCTTCGTTTACCCGCTAACTGAAAACCGCGGGTTATTTCGCGAAGGCTTAAGGTTCAGGTTTTGGTATCTCATTTCTTTATTTCCTATCTTCTTGGGAAACTGTATCATTACACATGTTTGTTTCTTATTTTTTCTCCAGGGTTCTTTTTTTTTTTTTATGGATTTTTCTGTGTATGGGATTTCATATCTATTGTGTTTTCTCTTCTCTCCTTTCTCATTCTATTTTATGTGTCTATTGTTTCCTTCTCCAGTCGCTGTTTGAGAGGATCGTTACAAGATGTGCGATATTGGAGCGATCTAGCACATGAGCAGACTGGGGCGGCAGACACGGGCAGAAATTTTCAAGTGGTAATCGTGGAAGATGTTTTGTGTATTCTTAGTACGACGTTTCCCTCTTTGCCTCAACACTCTTCTCTCGTACGGAGGCGGACCGATTGAGTAGCGAGACTGAAAAGGGGAACCTCTTTCTTTTCTTTTCTTCTCTGGTGGAGTTTGATCATTTTTTTTCCCGGCTTCTATCTTCTCAAGGGCTTTCTTGGGGTTATTATTCTCATCTTTCTTTTTGTATGGGGTTTTGCGCTGGCGCGGCGGGTTCACTTCCGGGCGGTTCTGGTGTTAATTCTTTTTTTTTTCGTTTCTGTGGGGTCCCTTTTATGCGTGCTTACTTCCTTTACTTTGCTAGCTATGTTGTTTGTTTGTTTGCCTGCTTGCTTGCTTGCGTTACTTGTTTGTTCCATTGCAGCTCTGAGTGCTTTTCTCTTGCAGCTTTTATTTTCCCTCACTTTTTTCTTCTTATCAATCCGTTTGGGGGAGTAGTATGGAAGAGAGGGGATGGGGCTAGCGGAAGAGTCTGTAAATGGACATGGTGTAGTGGTACTTACTCTTACTTACTTTCCCCTTCTTCAGCGGTTAGATGGTCTTTCTTTCTTTCTCGAGATAATGTTAGACGCATTGATTTTTGTTTTTGTTTTTTATTACCTATTTTCATGTGTTTGATTTTTATCTGTCATCTTCTATTGTGTTTAAGGTTGCATATTATAACTTATCTATCTACCATATATGTTCATGATGTGAGTCTTGTGAGTTCCGCGGGCAAGGCCCAACGAAAGATATAAGACGGATGGGCAGGAAACGGTTAATGCTTTATTGACAGATTTTTAATTATTGCGGGGATATCACTTGTTAAATATTTTCACGTTCAGTACTGGTAAATAAATTATTTATAACTATCTGCATTCTATATGGACTAGGAACCATTTAACTTAATGCTCCTATCATTCAGCCTGGTAATGAAGTATTTATATTTTCTTATCTGTACTGTACACTCGACCACCATCCCGGCATAAGTGATATCGAAATCTCGGACTGGAAGGAAGTCATGATACATACTGAGATCTGCATTTGTACTACTACACGTGCTGAACCTCCACCAATCAAGTCGCCTTGGGACCTTTTTACTAGTACTCCAAACCTTTATCCAACCAAAGATCAAGATAATCTAGTGCAAATAATTCACCTTCCGCACTCGATTGGATATAAGCCTTTTAAAATTACTTGGAGTACAGGGATCGTACCAACTACAACTCCATTAGGAAGTTCAATAAACCTGTTATCGTATCGGTGGATACCGATCTACAACGGTCTCTTCCGTAGTGGCGGTTTTGTTTACATATCCTCGGTCGGCCAAGTAAAAAGTAAATAATGGTAGACTTGCAAAGAGTTTAAGTAGAGCACCGGACGCAGCTCATTCGCAGGTTTGGAGCTGTATCTTCCTGTGCCGCAAAATCGCCAGTATGAAGTTCCTCCTTCCCGCCGTTCTCTCCCTTACACCCTCCCTCGTCTCTGCCTGGGGACAGCTGGGACACCAGACTGTAGGACTCCTGGCGCAGACTTATCTTCTCCCAGGCACGATCGAGAAGGTCCAGTACTACCTCAATGACACGACCCCAACGTATATGGGTAATATCGCGACTTGGGCAGACAGCTACAGGTATACGGAAGGAGGTGCTTTCTCTTCAGGATATCATTTTGTGAATGGGCATGATGATCCACCGCCACATTCGTGTAAGATTGAGTATCCTGGGGATTGCCCTCCAGAGGGGTGTATTGTCAGCGCCATTGCAAATTATGTAGGTTTGAAATTTGCCCACTTGCGGAGGGATCGGCAGGCAGACTAATAATGCGCAGACTGCAAGGTTGCAGAGCAAGAAGGTTGAGTGGATAGATAAGAGGGATGCTCTGAGGTTTCTCATTCATGTTAGTATTCCTACCTTTGTTTTTCGAAAATTATTCTGGCGCACAATAATGCTAATGCCCCTCAGTTTCTCGGGGACATCACCCAGCCCCGTAAGCCCACCCTCTCCATCCAATGAGATTATGTGTCCCACTAACCTTCCACAAGTTCATACCGAAGCCTACGGTACTGGTGCCAACGATGTGGCCGTAACATTCCTCGGGAAGTCCACAAACCTGCACGCCGTCTGGGACACATCTATCCCTAACCTCATGCTCAACGTCACAAATAGCACTCCCACCTTTACCGACTCCTTGGGCTGGGCAAACAACCTCGCTGCAAAGGTCAATGCGGGTGAGTTTAAGCGTGAGGTTGACAATTGGATCCGGTATCACGACGTCAAAGGTGACGGGCCGGCGAAGAGTGCGGCAAAGTGGGCTCAGGATTCGAATAAGTTGGTGTGCGGGTATGTGCTTGAGGAGGGACCAGAAAAGGTTAATGGGACAGAGGTCGCGGGTGGTGAGTATTATGAGGGAAGCACTGGGATTGTGGAGATGCAGATTGCGAAGGGTGGGGTGAGGTTGGCAGCATGGTTGAATATGATCTTTGAAGGGAAGACCGGGTTTTAATTAGCTGATGTATATGAAATATACCCGGATGCTAGTACTAGAGTAAATAACCATAAATGTTTCTGAGAACTAAGAATGTAGTTTTTTGAGAGATTGCATCAATCCAACAACCATATATTGCTAACCAAGAGTAATAAAATTAGGTAGGGTTAGGGCCCAACATTATGCATGCATACGTATATTCTAGCATATCGCAATTAATACATGTACTTACAATATCGACCTCTAGCCGTTACATGTAATTACTGCTCTTACACCTCACTTGGACTGACCAATATAAACATCACATATTGTACCGCAGTTTACATGGAGATCTGGGAGGAGAAATAATTCAGGAGGCTCCGTTACATATTAAGTTTCAAGATTTCTTCTTCCATTCGGTTTCGCCTTCAGTTTTCTTTGTCACTCGTTTGCCTCCTACATACATATTATGTGCATTGCTCGTAGGTGTCTAACAAAGAGGGACCTTCAAATACACGGTGCTAGCCTACAACTAACGAATAAATACACCTACCGACCCAGTGACAGAGACATCGCTAGCCTGTGTAGATCCGATAATTCCTTTGTCCTAAAGATAACTGAAACTCCTAGCTTAGTTTGTCACTTACCTTATATGAACTATTATATCATGTCAAGTCTATAAACATTCCCTACTCTTTCGAATTCTGCAAAATAGGTCTCGATTAACTATATCCATTCAAAATGACGACTCTTCCCCGAATTTACTGGAAAAATGACGACAGACTCGTGCGAGCTGAAACCCAAAAAGAGATTGACAAGTGGTTCTGGAAGTACAAAGTGAACTTCAACGACCCCACCCGATTCGCTACCGTTCTCCACAAACTCAATGCAAAAGTCAGCGCTCTCGAAGATCTCGACACTAGACCCAAATATCAAGTGAGACTGAGTTACACTGATTTGACTACCATCCGTGGGTCTAAGGCACTTACGGAAATTCTCAGAGAGATTGCTGAGCTAAGAAGCCATAGACATCGCATGGATGCTCTGAGCATCCTCCATGAAGTTTATAGAAGAACGGCAGGAGAGGAACCCCGCAATATAAGGCCAACTCCACTGAATCCAGGTTCTATACCAGTGTCTAGGGACCCTGATGAGCTAAAAAGGCCACTAGATCAGTATGAAATGGCTCGTAGAAGGCCAGTAACTGCTGAAGAGATAGCAAGCACTATGCCAGAGTGGGATATGCATGATCCGCTGCCTGGCCCATGGATCAGGGAAAAGACCAATAAACTACCACCGCCGGATAGAGGGATGCGGAATAGAGAATTGCAGGAAACCCTATCAACCCAGTTTGCCAATGATCCTAACGCTAGAGCCAGCATCGTGAACTTCCTAAGCACTGGAGCTCTGAATCCAGGGCGCGTCCAGAGGACTTATCTCGACAATCCTGCTGAGATATTACGTGATATGCCACACCAAGATAGAGTTCCGATTATCAGTGGCCCAATATTACCAGGTGAAAGTGGGGAGACGCCAGAGGAAATAATTGCTGGGCAATACGACATCACCAATGATGAGGAATACTGGCCAACGCTAGATATTCTTGATCTAAGAAGAGGCTCGGAGGATTCTTGCGGCTATCTAGAGGAATCGGACTACATATATCAGCTCGTTGCGCTGGTAAGACGGGTTCTCAGTCAACCAGAGGTTGCAAGAAATTATGTGTGGATCTGCCGTGCGCATCCTTCTAGATATCAAAACGATACCGAGGACCGGTTCGAAGATGAGGGCCCACCAACCGCCGAAGAAGGTAGTTAGGATTCTCATTTACTGATACAAACCCTGAGATATACTGTCTTTATACTGATGGTAACCTTCTGAAAATAGTGGCATGTATAATGGCTCTCCTTAGAATGACATTTCCAGAGATCGTTATATCGCCAACAAAACACACACTACGGGATGACATTGACACGTCGATGTCTGACTCGGAAGATACGTTTGAAAATGATGAGTCTTCAAGGCTTGAAAGTAATTCATCTACGAACGTGAGGGAATCAGATGATTCTTCGTATAATCCCAATGATTATCCAGATGATGATGAGGATGAGGATTACTTGCCTACGCCCCCCAGAGAGACAAATCGTAGATCTGGGAAACGAGCAAGGCGGGGGATACGAAGAAAAGGTGGGATAGAGCCAGGACTAGAGGGTCCGGAGACAATGCACGAGTATGCCCACCACAACAGATTTACAAATCCCACCCAAGTGAAATTAAACGGAGTCCTTTTTGATATGATTGAAAATATGTACTACGACAGACGACCCATCGGACATATATTTTATCTTGTCTTTGTTGTATTATCTCATGAACTAGCCCATTATCTTAATACTTGTGTAAGCTCTCGAATCATTACTCAATGCTGGTTTATACTAATATGGTTAGCTAACAAGGCTCGTTGTGGAATAGATATGGATCAGAGAACAAGAGAGATTACAGCTGGACCTGACAAATAACGGTAACAACGACACCTGGTATAAAATTATGGACACACCAAGAGGTATGCGTTGGCTCGTCTCAAACGCAACTGCAGAATTGACAGAATCCGATAACTACAGTAGATGGGCCTTCCGAGTAGGTGAGATGGGTGAGGTTATCGAATGGTCACTTTACAACTACATAATGGAATCCGAGCTGTCAAAAACAGATTTATCAAAAAATGAAACCCTATATATAACATGTTGGGGTTCCTACCCCCTTATCTCGGCACGATTTCCGGAATTATCGCAACTTGAATTCAGCGCCTTTGCTGGAACTCAATTGTTTCGAACCCTTCCGCCTATACGTATGGTGTCCTATGACGCTATTCAAACCTTCATCAATCAAATGACAGCTGCAGAAAGGCTGTTCAATACGGCGTCCTCTGATACTGATACGCAGTCGCAGCTCACCTATAGCATACAAGAGCTTTTGCAGAGAGATAACTCAGTCGACATTGAGATGTCGGATCCAGATGCATTGTTCACCGGATATGATCTTGGATCAGGAGACCTCAAACGAAAGCGATATCGCCGAGCCACACAAGCAATCCGCTGGCAGCAGTGGGAGGCTCAGTTTGATCCAAAACCCGAGCTTACACTTTTCCCAGTCAGAAAACCAAGTATTATTTATGGCCAACGACCTCCACTGATTCAACCGGGCAGGCTACCGGGGGAGAAAATAAGGCCATTTCTTTTTGGTTACCCCATCGCAATTAGTGCTCTAAGTGCTATATTGATCTACGACTATTCTTACCAAGGCATCTGGGGCGTCCTAAGCTATGCGCCGTCGGTAGTCTGTGTTCTGTTTATAGGAAGTTGTATTTTGCCTACGAGAACATTCTTCAAGCCGTTGGCAGATCCAAGGATCTATACTGCTGCCGTATTGACTTTCTTATTTCTTGCATTCGGGGGTCCTGGGTTTATTATTTGGAGTACTGAAGGGTTGGAGCTATGGACATGGTTGGAGGATTATGAATACGGTGTTGAAATTGTTAGGTTGATTATCTTAGTTTTTTGCATATTAATTTCGTCTGCAGCAGCAAATTTCATCCTGAATATATGACGGGGAATGGGTTTAGTCTGTAAATATAGTTAATTTTTTCGGGGAAGTGTAGTTGTGGCTGCGCTGTCAATGATTTAACACCATGATTTTGTCAATTTAGCCGTTCCGTACTATAGTGACGTCATTAAAATAGACCTGTTCCTAGATCAGCGGTTAGTAGTTACCTCCATAAAGAGCACAACTCTTGACCTCTTCTCGTTACTGCCACCTAGCCCTTTACTTTTTAAGTCTTCGCCTAGCTAGTGCTGTAGCAATATATCTCTCGCCCAGTCATACGTCTCGATATGGAAAACCCTGGTCAGTACAGTACCAAAGCTCACGCCTACTCCGTCGATCCAAGCCCAGCTAGCTAACCCAATGATCAGTGACAGAAATAACCCCCATAATAACCGCCCTCACTACCTCCCCACCCACACACCAGCGCCACGTCCTCGAAACCTACTTCCTCCCCGACAGCTCCTTCGACCACCCTCTGTGCTGTGTCTACCGCTGCCAAAACTCCTTCTTCACCTCCCGGTCCGTAATACTGGCTATATACCGGTGGTATAAAGTCCTATCACCGAACATACAGATTGACGTGAACAGTGTTGGTTCGTATTATTTCTGCACTCATCCGGTAGGAGGTAACTGGTAGTGACTGTGCAATTGTATATATAGCTTTCGATGAAAGTAAAGGAAAGCTCTACGTAGACAGTACGCAGGTCTTCACATTCTGGTTCATCCCGTGGCACCATATCGTAGTCTCTCTCGTCAGCGTCTTAGATCTCGAGAAGCGTCTCGTGGTCCTTTGGCAAAGTGAACAGCACCCAGAAGAGGGGAAAGAGAAATGGTACATAGTCCGGCAGAACGACCTCTACCAGACCGACCAATGGATTGCCTTTCTGCCATTTCTGTTTCCGGGGGCTAGGTATGCGCTTCTCCCCTTATCTCTGTTCTGCGGCCTTGCTGACCAAGCTGGTGGTTGTTTTTTAGGACAATTATTAGGATAGTCAAAGGTTTGGCGGCGTTGATCTGTTTGGTTGGTGCTACTTTGGCGACCTTGGTGGGGGTTATTTGGGAGGGCGAGGTGGAGGACATGTGTGAGCAGTGCAGACATGCTGGAAGAGCTGGTAGGCAGTCGAAGGATGTAGGCCTTGAAGATAGGGCTCAGGCTGCTGTTCTCGAGGAAGAGAGACAACTGGTGGGGCTTGATGATTAGAGGACAGCCCGCTCCAAGCACCCGGGAACCTAGGAGATTTATCGTCGTACATTAGCAAGCAATTGAAGCGCAAGGAAACGCAGTGAAACTTTCATAGGCCCTCATATATAGGGAACGAGAATGGAGACAAATCATCCCCCCGCCTGCCGAAAAACGCTGCCCACCCTAACCCTGGAGTCGATGCCATTGACAGAGTGAGTGAGTGTATGCGTTTGCCCACGAATTTCATTCAAGATCTTTCTTATCAATCTAATCGATAGTGTCTATTGGGAAGGTTATTTTACCACCCACTCCAGAGCCCAGTCTGTCAACAGTAGTTCCGGTAGCATAGTAGTTAAATAATACGCCTGCCTGGGTATCAGTAGGACGTTTGCCAAGGGGATGGGTTTAGAATCCTCTCGGGGCCTGTTTTTTATTGGGAAAAGGCCTAAAATGACACAGTTTTGGGTATACGTGCTCCAATAACACATGATACAAGATAACACGGTTCGCTATCTGCTTGACCTCAGAGCACAAAGAAAACCGAGCAAAGCCAGTAATAAAAGTTGATTCCTATCCCCACGACTGACCACTTCCTCCTCTAGAGAAATCAAACATCAAAATAGCGTTCCTAATTTATTTCACTACAAGAAAAGAAAAAAAAAAAGAAAAAAAGGTTCTACAAAACTACAAAAGGTACTGCAGCGACTTATTAAGGAATTTGCGACTGCTACCCCCACCCCTGGTTTGCACCCAGGACCTTATGTGTGTATTGTTTGTATCCTGGGTACGCTCGGTGTCTAACCGGACGAGCAGTCTATCCACTAGACCACCCGCCCATACTAGATACTGCACTACATGTAGTTATGTAGAACCCCCTAACCCATCTCATGAGCACATCTATCGAAAAATGTGTCATTTTAGACCTTTTCCGGTTTTATTTTATCTTTTTTAGCTGCGCATGCGGGTATATAAATCATAAATCGGACCTACTCCCCGTAAAACATGGCCAGAAGTACTTTTTGTTCTTTTATTTTAAACTTACCCCCATGATCCTCTCGAGCTTATTATGTTCTCCTAATATAAGCCCCCGTTGTGGGTTAGGTGCAATCCTAGAAAAGAGTGCTCACTCATGTCCCGTGCACATTTCCGATGAGAATCCAGAGACCAGCTAATATATTGCGCCAACTCTATCTAGCCGCAGAATTTATATTCTTCTGATCCCGCATGCGCACTTTCTAGAACTCCCAGCTCCTCCCAAAAAGACAATACAAAAAGATCATTGCAGTGATAATGAGTAAGAAATAATTACGGAGTGACACAAAAAGATAGATATCCCTACTAAGCTAAATCAAACTGCTTTGAAGAAAAGAAAAAAGGAAGAAACAAACACCGTATATATGATGATATCCCGGGCCCGACACAACAAAACAAACCCTACAACTATCAATCCTCCTCCTCCTCATCCGACGAAGATTCCTCCTGCGCCTCCTCAACCGCCTCAGCAGCCCTCTCAGCAGCCTCCTCGTTATCGTCCTCCGCTATTTCACCCACCCATCATCAGCAATCGCACCTTCACAAAAACCGCACATGGGGTAAACTTACTCATCTCATGCGCAATCAGCGCACCCGCCGCACCACCAATAACCAGACCCGCCGCACCAGCAACCAGCATATCCGTGTTCCCACTATCCTTCTTCTTATCCTTCTTTTCCTTCTTCTCCTTGTGCTCCTCGTAGTGGCCGTCGTAGCCGTGGCCGCCATGTGAGTCGTACCCGTGCCCACCGCTATGTGAGTCGTACCCATGCCCGCCGCTGTGCGGGTCGTGCGGGGGCGCGGCGTAGTAGCCGTGGGGTACTCCGTGGCCTTCTACTCCGCGGTCACCTAGGAGTGGGGGTCAATACTACATTCAACAAAAGGAAGGAATGGAAGATGGTACTAACCTGAGATGACGCCAGCGCCGACACTGGGGTGGTGCCATTGCGATACCTGTGATAACCGTGAGTAAATATTCACCAACTCCAATTGCTCAATCACGTTAGCTGGGGACGACTTACCCTAGTGTGCTCATTTACATAGTACCACGTCTTATAGTTCTCATCGAACCTTGCGACGAATCCCGGCGGGCACTGCGACGGTCCCGGCACTGGGGGCGGGAACGGGGGCGGCGCATAGTAGGCCTGACCGTCGTGGCCGTATGACGGGGCGGCGTGGCCCTGGCTCTGGTCGTAGTACTGCTGGGGCGGGGGAGGAGCCTGGCCGTAGCCGGGCATGGGAGGGGCGCCGTACCCTGAGTGCGGAGGAGGAGCGCCGTAGGGGTTGTGGGCGGGGGGTGCGCTATATGAGGGTGCCTGCTGCGCGGGGTATCCGTATTGGTCGACGCCGCGGGTGGCCTCGCTGTGCTTGTCTTCTTTCTTTTCTTTCTTCTCGTCCTTGTCGCCCAAGAAGGACTCGAATTCGGCGCCGAGCTTTTTGAAGAATGACATAGGTTTATATGGATGGGATGGGTAGTCTTGGGTTTGGGTTTTTGGGTGGGATTTGTTTTATTGAATAGTAATACTCGAGAAAGCTTGATGTTCTTCAAAGGACGTTCTTTATTTCCAGTATTTATAATGCCCTTCTCCCAAGACCCCCACGGGGCCTCTACCCCTCTCCCATCCCGCTATCCCATATTCCTCTGCCCGAAAGTCAATCACTCAACATGTGTTCCAGGCCCCGAGGCTACAAGGATCCATCCAAAACCCTTAGAACTACAAAGACCCTGTGAGAAGGATTCCGAGGCCAGGGAGGGAGGGGGGCCGCAAGCTGTCAAAGATTGCATGTATTGTTCTCCACCGACCCCACAAATGTTGAACCACTATTTTAACGTTAACTCATTGGTTTGTCAAGTTAAACTCCATTGCTTAGCACACGGGCCATCCCATATTTTAACCTATATGTGCCAGGGTTCCAGTTAAAAAATCTCAAACCATGCATTCAAGAATCCCCCTATGAGTATTTCCTGAATGCCGAGAGTTTTCTGTACCGCCAAGTGGTGTTTCGCTGGGGGCTGTGCTCAAGGGACGCGTAACACGCATGCCCAGCTTATCAGCCGTTCCCCTAATGATTGATAGTCATTTGTTTCGGAAACTCTTGGCATGGAAGTCCGACATTGCTTCTTCTTCTTCAAAAACTCTTGGAGCTTTGCCTGAGGAATAAACCGGCCGAATCGTTGCGTTGGGTGCTGATGATTGTGATCAAAATGAAGTTCGTGGTTGTCATGTACTAGTAGCTGGTGGATAGAGACACCTTGGCGGAACGATAACTATTGCTACTCGCAAAGTCACGCCAAAGGTGAATTCCGAAGACATAACCCCCTAATCGATTGATCCGTCACCAAACTCAGCATTTAGACGAGCTTTTTGCCAAGGTTATTGGGACGAGGTATTAAACACCCATATGGGGGACGTCATATGGTTTGTGCATATGCTAACAAAAAAACGCTGCTAAGCGATTTCGGGACTATTGAAATGTAGCCAATATGGAAATGCGGTCTTGGCAAATTGGCAGTGCAAAGGATGTGAATGATATCCATTGCCAATGTCGAAGTGGACGTGCGATGGGTCCTGCCTAGGATGCTTGATAGAAATGTGTGCCTGCCTAGAAATATCTAGGAGAAGAAGGTGCCAGACGTGCCAAAAGCTTGATAAGGTGTTGCAATTTATTGTTCATGCATTCGCGATGTTCAGCTCTCGGGGCTGAAAATACAGGGGGCATGCGCAGCTCGCTCCTCCTGATCATGCTCTTCCGTATCTCTCCATGTTTGCCTGGCGATAAAATATTGTTTATGCGTGATCATGTTGAGAAGGTCTGCCAATAATTCGAATCCCGATGGGATGGGTCAATGACCATGTGGGTTGCTGCTGCTAGCTGTGAACCTTGGCTAAATGAATCGTGCCCTTGCCCTTTCTCCCCCGCTAGGTAGCTCGGGTTTTGCGCATTTATCCATCTCCGTTCCCCGGCGGTTTCTCGTATCGATGCATCAAAGCAAAGCAAACCAGTTGATTTTTGGCCCACTTTTCTTTCAGCTTGTTCCTTGCGGGTTCATTTTGTCGGCATCGTCGAGAAGAATCCCGGCTCTCGGATAATGCTGATGCCGCTGTACCTTCTCGGCGACGTCCTAGTGAGAAAAAACGATCTCCAGGAAATAATTTGCCTGTAGAAAGAGCTGCACATAAGCCCATGTCTGTGTAAAATACTCAAGGATTCGTACATATACAGCATTGACACACAGCACCCGCGCGTGATGGGCAAGAAGCTTATGCAATTCTTCCAAGAGCCAGGCCAGAACTATTAACTCCTCACCCATCCCTCTCAGTTAAAAACCGACATTACCGAAACAAAACGGATTACTGATTCTTGGTGCGGTGCGGCCTCGGGGTGGGAAGTCGATCGACCGTTTCGAATGGCCGCATCACGTGACAGTCGGTAACTGGAGCTTTGCGACAAATCCAAACAACTTTGGAGAAGATGTCCGCCCAGAAAGCTTGAGATGCGAAAAATGTTCCAACAAGAGTCTTGGAGAACAGAAGCAGGAGAGGTCGACTTTAAACCAAGCATTATGAACTGGCCCATCGACGGAGCAGCCTCCGTCACCCTAGTCATATATCAAAAAGGCGGGGGGTGGGAGAAAAGGCAAAGCTGCCGTGTGGCGTTTTACTACTGTTGCTGCTGCTGCTGTGTTTTTCCCCTTCATTTTTTGTGGGCATTATTGGTTGGGCGTTTTGCGAGTTTGGTGGTGGCTGAAACAGTTGGGATATGGAGTTGGTGGTATCCATTGCTGACAAGAGAGTCCTTAAAGACTGCAGCTGGGTATGTTTGTAGAACACTGGAATCGTGAATAGCAACCAACGACTCCAAGAGCTCAGAGATCGACAGTTGTTAAATGACAGCTATGGCCTGTAACACAGATGTCAATTATCACGATGCACGATGCAAGATGCCAGTGGACTTATTAGACGTCTCTCGGACACTGCGCGGCGGCGAGCTCCAAATTGCAAATAGACCAGCCGCATCAACAGCCGAAATACAGGAGTCGCCGCTTTCGAAGAACTATCTAATAGGTGATTGATCTTCATCCAGCGGTGCTCTGTGAAGTTGGAGATGAAAACGAAAACGAAAGGAGCTCTAGCTCTGATTACGGGAGAGAAAGCTTAAAGTGATGATAGGTTGCACGCAATGGGTGAGGCTTGAGGCTTGAAGTCAACAAGAGTACAAACAACGTTAACAACAACATGGCCGTTACGACGTTTCTAGTCTCTCAACGAGGCTCTAAACAGCTCACTCTCTAATTTAAACACGCCTTGAGAAGTCGTTAAGACGGGCTTTCGCGGCCAACATCCACGCTAGGTGTTTGAACACTCAGCACTCAAGTCGACTGCAATTCAGTACCGTGGCAAGTTGCCGTCTCGTGTGTTCTTTCTTGGTGTTCTTTATTCGGACAAACAACCCCTCGCACCAACAACAAATTATCCAAATTATTGTTTTGAAACAAAGAAAACCAAGATACCAAGAGCCCCAATGTCCGCGGAAAGCTATTAATAATCACATAAGAAGTGCACTTCCCGGCTCTCCACGCTAGGCCAGACTCGCCAATCGAGTGAGTGTTCATGACAGCATCCAATCTCGCCATGATTAGTAGACTTCTAATGAATGCAACTCCAGATGTCGGCCCATCACAGCGTGTACCTACGCAGATGTCAATGTATGTAAATAGTCATCTCCCAGCTTCCTCTTGAGGAATCTCTCCACTCTCTCTAATATAATCCAATTCACCCCTTAGTGAGTACCACGATGCTCTCCGTCGAATCGTTTCTCGCCGCTGCCAACACGGTTACCACGTGCATGTCTCATTCGCCTCTAAACCCTGCGGAGATTATGTCCTATTCAGCATGTCCGGCCCAGCAAGTGCTCCCGCTGTCTTCAACGACATGTCAGTGCAGTAACACAATGTTCGGGGGGTACGGGTACGTAGAGTATTGTGTTCCCGGTGCTACATAAGCAATGTCACTCCCTTCCTCCTGCACCACATCATCGTCCTGATCGATCTTTGCCCTCTTGGCTTCTCCCCCGATCCCCAATTGCAAAAACTTCATCTGTCTTTTTTTTTTAACCTGTCCAAAAAAAACTAAATATGAAGCTCTCGCTTAGCACCGCTGCGGCTGTGATTGTCGTGGGCGCCGCCGTGCCGACGGCGCTGGCGCAGAACTATGTGGGCATCCAGGATGTGCTGGATGCGTGGGACTCGTCGCCGTATTCGAGCTATCCCACGCAGTTTACGCGGGATATCATACCGGTATGTTGGCGAATTGAGTGACAAACAATCGTTGTTTTGAGCACGAATATGCGGCTGACGGTGATGGTGCAATTGTAGAAAAAGTTGCACTCCCACAACGACTACTGGAGGAAGGCTCCCCTGTTTACGGGTACCTACCAATGATCACCCGTCCCACTTCTAGGTATCGATACTAACAGCCATATTTCCAGCAATTGCAAATGGGGCAATCTCCGTAGAAGCCGATGTCTGGCTCTACAACGACACTCTCTACGTAAGCCCCACCAACTACTCCTCTACACCCCCCACAACAAACTAACACCCCCCTCCCCGCAGGTCGGCCACGACACCTCCTCCCTCACCCAAAACCGCACATTCTCCACCCTCTACATCAATCCCCTCCTCGAGATCCTCACGCTCCAGAACCCGATCACCCCCTTCGTCACCACGCCCACGCGCAACGGCGTCTACGACGCCTCCGTCTACCAGACGCTCTTCCTCTTTGTCGACGTCAAGACCGACGGCGCCACGACGTGGCCCGCAGTACTAAAAGCCCTGCAGCCCCTTCGCGCACGCAACTACCTCACCACCGTCAACGGCACCACCATCACACCGGGCCCCATCACCGTCATCGGCACCGGCGCCACGCCACTCGACCAGATCCGCAGCAAGAGCTCACGCGACTACTTCTACGACGGGCCGCTCACGGAGCTGGACGCGAAGAACATCACGCGGGCCATTTCGCCGATTGCCAGCACGGCGTTCACGGCGGCGATTGGCGCCGTGAATGGTACAGGGTTGAGTGCGGAGCAGAGGGCCAAGGTGGAGAAGCAGGTGAGGGATGCGCATGAGAAGGGGATTTGGGTGAGGTATTGGGATCTGCCGAGTTGGCCGGTGTCGGTGAGGAATGGGGTGTGGAGGGACTTGGTGGCGGCCGGGGTGGACCTGTTGAATGTGGATGATTTGGAGGCGGCGGCGGGGTTGAAGGAGGTTTGGTAGTGGGGTTGTGAGGTTGTGGGTGGTGGGGTGGGTGGATGTAGATTGGGACTGTGTCTGGGACTTGGGGGCGGTTGCTTGTTCTGTGAAAATAAATTGATTATTATATAGATGTGAGGGGAACTAAAAGAGCTTTAATTTAGAAGTTGGGACCTCGGTGCTTTGTCCATTAAAGCAGATCGTAGGCTCAAGTACTACTCTCCGATCCAAGAAATGCACGCATGCGCAAAACATCAGATACAGGAAAAGATGTAAAGATAACCCTGTTCCCAGAGACCTGTGTTTCCAGGACCGCCGCCTTTATGACAGATTTATCTCCACCCCGAAGTACCTACAAGTAGCCCTAGGCCGCAATGGAAATGATCATATTGCATGTAAAGTTTCCAGCTCCATTCATGGCACTAGAGAGTAGGCAGGGGCTAGTTGTTGACCGGCGTTGCAATGTTGGAATGTTATCATTGACACTTACTATTCTTACAACAGTAGGACTCTGCGCCATGCGCCACCTAGTCAGTAGATTTGTCTGACAGCTGCAAGAGATTTGACCTGAACCCCAATCATGAAGAGGCACTCTGAACACTGGTGTAGTGCCCAGAGTGGATCACCGAAATGGATTATGTAGATTGGTAGTTAACTGTTGATGAGTGCTAGTAATATTGTTCCCAAACTGGACATCTACTAATCACTAACAATCAATTGCGATCTGATATGCAGATAACAAACACCACAGATAACCCACCAAACCAGGCTACCAAACACTCACACTCAAACACTCACGCTCACAACCGCAACGATAATTGACCGATTCAATTCCAGCGAAAAGATAAGACTCTGGTTTCATTGCCCTCGTAATACATGATAATACATGATAATAATATGATATAAGATATATTTTTGCTACCAGCGCTGGGCCTCAAAACCCCTCTTCCTATCGTACACCAACAAAATATTTATGTTTTTCCTTTTTACTCGTGGTCATTCTTGTGGCTCGCTCTTCCGCCCATCGCCGCAATCTCCCTCACCTCATCCTTCGGCCTGTTTGCAAAGTTGCCTGGGTTCCCGTGCCCGGGCATGTTCTGCCTCTGCTTCTCGACGTAGTTCTCATGCGCTGTTTTCCCGCCCTTGGACGCAATCTCTCTCTATATCACGATTAGCTCTCCATCCTCCCCAACGCCAAACAGCCATAAGAAGAAGAAGAAGAAGAGAGGGTGAACAAACCTGTCTCTCCGGATCCATATTCGCAAACCCTCCCGACGCCTTTCCTCCCATCGACGCAATCTCCCTCACCTCCTCCTTAGGCCTGTTCGCAAAGTTGCCCGGGTTGCCATGGCCCGGGAGGTCATGCTTGCGTGCGGCCTGCGCGGCCTTTCCGCCCTTTGAGGCGATCTCGCGCACCTCCTCGGTGGGGCGGTTGGCAAAGTTGGCAGGATTGCTGGAGTGTGACATGGTGTAGCGTTTTAGCGGTGTTTTTGTGAGCGTTGTGGTAATGGTGCGGATGCGGGCGGAGCTCATGAAGAAGTGTGTTTGTATGTTTGTAGATTTCGATACTGTGCGGAAAGTGGAGGTGGGGGAATGGGCGATGAAGGGCAGGTTTTATACATGATTTGGGGCCCTTTGGGAAAACAGGGAGACGCGAATTCACATGACGAGCTATGACATCGGCGTGCCTGTGTAGAGGAGAGTAGAATACCGGTAAGTATTTACTAAATGTTTTTCTACCGATATCTACTCTGCTCTTCCAACATTGCTGATCTGAATTATGGCTTTCTTCTCTGTCTGCGGGCGAGAAACGGGATTTGCGAATTGGCGATGGCTAGTTTTGGGGGTAGATTGTCATGCGATTCGCAAAGCTCGGTCATCAGTGTGATGTCACTTGCAAACGGAAGCGGGCCTTGGCAGAGCGAGCATCCCCGCCGGTGCAACCAAGCAGGGAAGGGGAAATGATCGTTTGCTTGTTTGCTTGTTTGCTTGTTTGCTTGTTGGAGATGCTCGATGCTGCCCATGAAGATCGGTGTGGCGGGGGATTTGCATGTTGGGTTGCAACTGTGAATTGTGGGAATCGATGCAGAGACGTTTGTAGGGCAGGTACCTGCACTGAATTGCACTTCGATGGAATACCTACTGCAACGCTCAATTGGTCAATGACTTGGTTCAAGATCTGGTGGTGCAAACGAAGAGGGATTTCATTATTACTTCAGGATTTGCCGCTTTCGCGGTTAACGTTGAGTACTCTAGTCACACTCAATCTCGCGGGAAAAAACGAAAACAAAAACAAAATCCAGGGCGCAAGTTATGGTAACTTGAAACTCCGTTTTTTTGTGTTTGGTGGCCCATTTTAATTTTACGGGTCCAGAAAACAACATCAACTGAGGTTTCCAGGAAACAACTAGAAATTGCTTTCTCCCTTGAGACTCGGCTGAGAAATCTCTCTGTATTCCACCCACTAACGGAGGATGAGTGGAACATTATTTCTACTAATCGAGGCCGGCTCCCAAACGGACCCCAAGTAGGTAGTTCAAAGAGTTGATAAAGGGTTGACCAAAGTCTATGTTGTATGGGGATTGGACGGACGTCAATGTAACTATCCAGTCTATAGAGTATATAGCGAAGATAGTAGGGTAGAGTTGATTGACCAGACAAGGGAAAGTGTCCCCCCTCTTGTGCTATATATGTTTGAGTTAGTGTGTCCCTGTCCTCTTCCTAGAGTCACGTTGTCCAGTTAGTTAAATGTCCTTAACCGACCCTAACAGCTAGCTAGCTAGCTAGCTTGCACCAATACTTTTCTCCTCCTCTTCCTCTTCCTCCTCCACCAAAAGCACTGTGGAAAGATTAAGAATAGATTTACGTATTACATCGCTCTTTACAGCACACCTATCGTCATCTACAATACCTAAATCATCTAGAGTACAATACCTAAAAACCACGAGAGAATCGGATTGCCCCATGAACCAAGAGGACTCAATCATCTAGCTATAGATAGTGGCATCACTGTGCCATGCATGGATACACATCCAGTTCCAGTGAGAGTCCCTCACTAGCTTAGGCGGCCATGATCAGGCCAGCTATCTAGCTAGGTCTTTATGGAAGGGTAAAGACTACCAACTTCCGAGTAGAGAGCGCTAACAGCCGTGATGGACGTACTTTACCTACAGTAAATGGAATCAAGATTTGGCTGTCTTGTTGACAAGAAAGCTCATATATACATGTACATTTGCGCTTCACTTTCATTTAAGCAAAGCGGTACGTTAGAAGCCTCTCTTATTCAGAAAAATAGTTTTCTTTGTCTATTTAATTCACTACTTGCTCGCCCATTCACTATGATGAGACTGATGTTCTTTATAACCAGGTTTCTACATGTTTCTGTCTTATATAACAGTCAAGCTAGTAGTAGTCCTGGAGATAAAAAAAGTATTACAGCCATATCAAGCGACAACTTCTCCAGTACGCGTGACCCACTCCTCTCTTCAGAAAAGCATATTTACGATTGACTTGCAGCAACCACGATTCTTGCTAGAACTGTGAACTTGCTTTGGGGTGATATAAAGAGCAATTAATTATAGCTCTTCTAGGTCAATAAACCATCCAACCAACCAGGAAACTGGCGCCGAAAGTGCGCTGTGCACCGAGTGATAAATCGTGATGCAATTCTGTACGCACGGAATTTTCAGATGAATACAAACACATACAAGATGTTACTTATCTCCCTCATGATCGCTTTTCTCCGTCTGGTGTGGCGGGGAACAGGTCATTTGTATCCAACGCTGTCTTTCTGGAAATGCTAAACAATAGATACTTGAAATACACCTGATATCCGTTTCGACTGGATCTCTCCACCACCATCACCACCACTACCACAGATTATATACTGGATAACTCGTTAAGGAAGACAGCTCATAGAACCTATAGCTACATATACAGACACCACCAACACCCACCACCCTCCCCTAAAAGTTCGTCTCATCCGGAAACTCCCTAATCAGCATCTTCACGTCCTCCTCCGTCGCCGCCGGTATCGGCAGCAACGGATCAATCTGCTTGCTCGTACAATACTTGAGCAGCGCATTCCTATCCGTCAAGTCATCCAGCACCCGCTGCATATCCGGATGATCGTACGGGCCGCCCAGACACAGCTGTACCTGTTCCATCAGCCACGAAAACACAAGTAGTCCCACCTTCGGCGAGATAAAGTCATTCCACCAGTCATACGGCGGCACATGAGTAGGCATCGGGACATCTGAGTCCTCATCGGGGTCTAGATTGCGCATGGGAACCTGCTTGTTCTCGTCTTCCGTGTGGTAGTCGCCGCCGTCAGAGTCATCGTACATGCGCACGCCATCGAGCGCACGGTCGGAGTCGTAGTCGCTGCCCGGGCCCTCGGCGTAGTCATGGTAGCCGGCGTTGATGCTGATGGCCTCCTGGGGGAGGTTGGGCGCAAGGGCGGGTTCGGCCACGGCCGCCGCCAACAGGCTCGTCCGCACCCCCCTTGCCATGAAAGATTCCTCGTTCCTGTTCAGGCCCTCGAAGGCCTCGCTGAGCGGGAGATAGCTCGAGTTTTCCCAGTCGAGGATGGCCACGATCTTTGCGCCGCGCACCATGATGTTGCGGCCGCGGTCGAGGTCACGGTGGCAGAACCGGTAGTTGCCTGTTTCGGGGGGATCGGGGGGCGCGGCGATGTGGTCGGCGGCGCGTTTTGCAAAGTAGCCTTGGAGGACGGCGACGCGTTGGAGCCAGAGGTTGCGCTGGGCGCCGGTGAGGCCGGTGCCACCGGGGGCGTCGGCGGCGGCGGAGTCGTAGCCGGCCCAGTAGAGGCGCTCGCGCTCGAGGCAGGCGGCGACGAATTCGATGGTGGTGGCGTAGGGGCCGTGGCCGTAGGCGCCGTCTGAGGTGCGCTGTACGTCCTGGGGAGGAAAAAAAGGGAGGGGATTGTTGTTAGCAATGACCGGAAAGACAGCTAATGATCGCAAAGACAGGAATGGGGTTGTTGGAAGACAGCCAATGATGCA